GGTTCCATGCCACCCTGGGTAGGATCATGCTCAGGCCACTGGCATTTCAATCAGCATTTCATAACTAATTGCCTGGCCACAGCTATCTTGTTATCAATTAACATAGCCCTGAATGTCAGGAAGTAACTGTATCTCTCTAACTCCCTAAGGCTGGCTTCTGGGTCTGTGAAATGGCTGGATTTCCTCACAGGGATGGATTACATGTTTACATCTCTGCTGCTGCCAGAGTGTGTAGTGAGGATGACCCAAGTAACCAACAATAATGTCTTCATGTTCCCTCTTTCTCCTCCTTGTCTTATGTATGCTATACAGGAGTGGAAAAACCTCCTTGTATCTGAGCTCTTGGAGCAGGCTGGAAGATACACACATTGCAGACACTGTACTGCCTGAATCCAATAAATTAGAGGGAAAAAATAAGCAACAGCATTTGGAAACCTTTTGAGAATGGACACTTTTCCAGATTTCAGGAAATGCCCATAAGTGGATGGGATCATTTCAATGATCCTCTCGGTCCAGAGAGCACTGCTGTCTCAAGCTGGAGAATATCTCTGTCATCAGCAGAAGGCCTCTCACCAAACCTGCTCCTCTATGTCCAGCTCTTAACATCTGATAGTCTGGAACATGAGACTTTCCAGATTAGGATAAATTTGACCGGCTTGCAAAACTAAGCCTCTCCTTTTCTGAGACCAGCGAGGCTGCAGCAGGGAGGGTGGCATTTTATCTCTGTTAGTGGCTGAGAGAAAAGGAATCCTTGCAGCTCTATTGTGGTCAGTTGCTGGTTGAATGTGCCATGAGGAGGATCAAGTGAGCAGCGGGCTCTGTGGCATGGCCTTGCAGTTCACCACAGGTGTGGTCTTTCTGTATGTGCAGTAAGGTGGACCTGCCCTTAGGTGGCTGCTCGTTTGCTCACTATGAAAAGGCAGAGCTTCTTTAAGGAAGTTTTCTGCATAAAAACCAGAGCAGTGAGAAGGGACAGTGCAGATGGTGCTAATTTCCAGAGGCCATATGTTTGGAGGGACCTTGGGTACCCCTACAAGAATTCTTTGTTTTCTCAATGTTCCGTTTCAAAGGTACTCTGGAGGTCTCCTCTTTGCAGGAGACCACTGCTTCCTCCCACTCGTCCACTCCTGACACGTTTTCCCCGTCCCCTCCTCCATCCCCTGCTGCTCCACAAGCCTCACAGCTGGATAAACAGCGCTTGCAGTCGCTTACAGCCCTCCAGTGCCTTCCAGCACGGAGAGGAGCTTCCTGAGCAGCCCGTCGTGGGCGGACGGTCGTGCTGCAGCCCGCGTGCCAGCACCGGCCTCGCTGCGCTCCAGCAACATCAGCTCCAAAACACACGGGATCTGGAGGTGCTAATTACAAGTGTGGGTTCTCTGTCCGTGCAAGGCTGAGGAATTTGGTGATCTGGAAGCTCTGGGTCTGTCTGCTGGCTGGGCTTCGCTGTAGAATGGGCTTGGAAACGTTCACAGTAGCTTTTATAGCTTCTCTGTTGACTCATCCTTTCTCTGTTGGCTGTTTATATGGAAAGGGGATCTAGCTCATCTAGCTCGTCTGTCTCACCCCAGAAGTGCCTGCTGTAAGGAAGGGAGGAACCCCCAATAGGTGTGATGTGTGCTTGTGGCTGTCAAGATTGTTGGCTCCTGGTTGTTTCCGGAGATTTTTGGGTTTCACCATGAAGACCTGGCCCATGGTGGGGGGCAAGCAGGCCTGATTCCACATGGTTTCCCCAAACTGGCTGGGCCTGCAAGAGACATGTGACATGGGACTACATGCAGTGGTGGTGTGGTGACTCTGTTGCAGTTCAGGTGGTTTTGTAAAGGGTCCCGTGCAGCCTGGTCAGCTTGTGAGTTTGTTCCCCTGGCTTGCAGGGTTGGCAGCATCCCTGCCCAGGCCAGAGCAGCTCTGCCAGAGCTTTGGGCAGAGCCAAGCTCGCTGCACTGCTGGTGGTTGGAGCTGTTGACATAGAGGCTCAAGTATCTCCATCCTCTTTTATCCACTTTTTCCTGTAATGTGCATTAATTTACTACTTGTATTAAGGACAGAGCCACTTGAGAACCTCTGCTCCACCTTGTCATTTATCACTGTGACAGAATATGACCGAACCATTTTGCTGAAGCCTTATTTTGCTTTTTAAAATCCCCTATGCTTTGCAACAGCTAATCCAGCAGCACCTCCTCCCTTCCTGCTGTATTTGGGACATCTTTCTTCCTCCTCCTCCTTCTCCTCCTCCAGCCCATGCAAGATGATGTTGCTTTTGGAAATGACTCTGTCTGAGGGCTTCGCTTTCTCCTGGGTCACACGGATGATCCCAGCTTTTGGAGCCCAGTCCCTGGATGGTGTCTCCTGATTGACTTATTGCAGCCAAGACTGTGTCCATGCAGCTCACTGATGAGTGTTTACACAAGACTGTGCAGTCCCCTTCACATAACCATTAATTTTATAGGGGGCACATAGCAGAGATGGGCCTCCACTATTCCTCCTGCCTTTGATCTGTGTGGGGTGTGTGGCCCAGAGCTGCTAGCATTGCTGATTTACTCCACTCTGCAGATGGAGCTTCTGGAGCAAACGAGAGCTTATGTTTGCTCTCAGTGGTATGGCAATACCATTACAGGCTGTGCTGCTGGCTGGTTGTGTTTGGGCTGGAAGGGCAGGGATGGCTCAGGGTTTGCATGTCCTTAAGTTTTGGCTTTTAATATTAGCTCAGCAGTGGGGTTCATGCAATCCATGAGTGCCCCAAGTCCATGCAAACAGGTAGGTGGGTTATTAAGGGTCTGAAGCATTGCTAATGGAAATAAAGTCCATGTATTGGCAAGCTATAAGCATTGACCTTGTGTCAGGGCACTCAGTCTGAAACAAAATCTCTCCAAAACAACATTTCTAACATTTCTATTACAGAACTTTATTGTGATCCAAGCTAGACTCAGAAAACTCTCTTTTCTTTCTTTTCTTTCTTTTCTCTTTCTTTCTTTCCCTCTCCTCTCCTCTCCCCTCCTCTCCTCTCCTCTCCCCTCCTCTCCTCTCCTCTCCCCTCCTCTCCTCTCCTCTCCCCTCCTCTCCTCTCCTCTCCCCTCCTCTCCTCTCCTCTCCCCTCCTCTCCTCTCCTCTCCCCTCCTCTCCTCTCCTCTCCCCTCCTCTCCTCTCCTCTCCCCTCCTCTCCTCTCCTCTCCCCTCCTCTCCTCTCCTCTCCCCTCCTCTCCTCTCCTCTCCCCTCCTCTCCTCTCCTCTCCCCTCCTCTCCTCTCCTCTCCCCTCCTCTCCTCTCCTCTCCCCTCCTCTCCTCTCCTCTCCCCTCCTCTCCTCTCCTCTCCCCTCCTCTCCTCTCCTCTCCCCTCCTCTCCTCTCCTCTCCCCTCCTCTCCTCTCCTCTCCCCTCCTCTCCTCTCCTCTCCCCTCCTCTCCTCTCCTCTCCCCTCCTCTCCTCTCCTCTCCCCTCCTCTCCTCTCCTCTCCCCTCCTCTCCTCTCCTCTCCCCTCCTCTCCTCTCCTCTCCCCTCCTCTCCTCTCCTCTCCCCTCCTCTCCTCTCCTCTCCCCTCCTCTCCTCTCCTCTCCCCTCCTCTCCTCTCCTCTCCCCTCCTCTCCTCTCCTCTCCCCTCCTCTCCTCTCCTCTCCTCTCCTCTCGTTTTCCCAGTCTGCCATAAATTAGGATTCTGGCATCAGTCTGACCTTGCCCTCCTAAATGAGCTGTCTGATCAGAATCCCTTTTCTTGTTCAGACTTGGTGTATCAAATATGACAGTGACCTCAGCACTGGTGGTGGGCGATTGTCAGGCCAACCAAATCTGGATCACCCCTGAGCTCCTGTCCTAAATTTGACTGGAGTTGAGATGTAGTCTCTTCTGATCAGCCGCAATGAAAGCCGTGTCTAACAGTGCCATTTGACAGGGCAGTTTCAGGTCCCAAACCTGGTATGAGAGAGTCATGCTAAGTGAGAGCTTTCCAGTGTGGAAAGTGTTTGTTCATCCAAAGTCTCCAGTTTCTTTTGTGGACTTTCAGCCAGGGGCATTTTCAGGATGACGACGTGTTCCGCAGGTGCTCACCGTGACATCCGCCTCCCATGCAAGGAGGAGCTTGCTGCCTGTTATCTGTCAGCTCGCCTGTTATACTGCTTAGCCTTGCTTCTTGGCACTCTGTGTGAAGAAAAAAAAAAAGAGAAAACAGAATGTCTATAAAGTATGGAAAATGTAGAAGCCCCTGACAGTTGTATGGTGTGTCTTGCTTCTCCCACAGAGAGGAAACCACAAAATAGTGAGTCCAGGGGTTTCTTTCCACACACACAATATCTGTCAGGATTTTGAGGAATTTTCTGGGAACTGATGAAAGAAATGTGCTGTTTAAGCCCTGATATATATTGTACTACCATTCTGTATGAAGGAGATGCAGTGCTCCACACTGGCAGGTTCCAAAAAAGATTTGCAAAATGAAGAAACCCAAAGGATTTGAGGGAATTTCTTCTGAGTGGGCAGGTTGGCTTTGATGGGATCAGAGGCAGAAGAAAAGGGGAAAATTTGCTTGTATTAAAGAGAAAAGGTAGTTTGCTCATTAACCATTTCACACCTTCACAAGATTACTGATTCTGGTGGGAAATGGGTAGGAATTTTAGCAGCAAAGGGACTCTTGCCTCCTCAATTTCAACTTTCTCAGCCCTCAGGGGTGGGCAGAATGTGAGGAGGAGTCATATAAATAACAAGTTCCTGTTCTCATGTGTGCCCAAGGACCAAAACTGAGTTTGACAGTGTCAAGAGCCTGTCTTGCATGGCCTTCCCAAGACAGGGCTCTGACAGGGCTGTCAGAGGCTGCCCTGCACTCACAGTGGTTATTAGTAGCTGCTAATTGTGGGGATACCTCAATTAACAAGCAGGGAGCTGGTGAAAGTGCATCAGCAAATGGGAGCAGCCTGAGGATTAAGCCCAAAAGATGGTGCAGTGTTTTTTTCTAGCTCTTCTTGTTAGGATTTATTAAATTAAAAATTAATTACTGTTTATTCTTCTTCTCTCTTCCAGGTCCACCTGTAAGTACCCAACCTCTACGGTTTTAGAAGCTGTTGACATGGAGTCTGCGGGGCATGAACTTGCAGCCTCCTGTCTGTGGTGTCTGGTGTGGTAACCACCTTTGCAGTCCTGGCAGCCTGGGCTATCCCAAACAGCAAGTACTGTGGGAGCTCAGGACTGGATTGGGGTGGGATTGCTCCTGGCTGCAGCTCAGCAGGGACAGGAACATGGCAGATCCACATGGTGCAGAGATCTGTGTGTTAGCAGCTGGCCCCACAGCCTCTGGGGGGAACCGCTGTGTGTGCCTCACATGCATGGGATGCCACGTGCTGAATGAGATGTGTTTGCAGAAAAGGGAAAGACAGATCACAAACACATGGCAGGGGCTGAGCTGCAGGGACTTGTTCCCTGCTACTCACCCGGGCTGGCTGAACTGCTGGGCCTTCAAGTATAGCTGTGCAGCTATCAATTTCAGAGGAAAAATTGTGTTGACAGCTTCCTTTTCAAATGTTAGCTAATGTAAAACCTCAGCACAGACAATTTAGGCTTCAGGAAAATAGCTAGGTTATTGCAGAAATTTTCTTGCAGCTATTACCAGACCCACAGTGAACCAGAAGCAGCAACACAAGGACTGAAGCCATGTATTGATAGCTCTCAGGATTGTAAAGAAACACTGCATTGTCTCTAGCAAGGTCCTTCCAGAGGAAATGGTTTATATTCGTGTACAATAGAGGGACTATTCAGGGTTTCTGTGAAGGAACATGAGAAGTTAAACATACGGTAGTCATCTTTTGTCTGTTCTCGCAAAAATGTCTTAAACAGTTTGCAGATGACGTTCTGAGCAGTAGTTGCTGCACAACCTATTTTCTTTCCCCTTTCATCAGGCTGAAATGCTAGAGACTGAACTCCCACAGATATATGAGCACAGACCTATTTAATGACAGCAATCTTCCAAAAAGTTGCACCTTCTAGGCCAAAAGGTCTGAAAGCATTTCACAGCTGGAAGCCCTGATCCACGCAAAACTTCAGCGATAGCTTATCCCAGGGGCTTTCAGGACTGGCTGCTGAAGTGGATGTGTTTCAGCATTAGCTGTGGCTTTTTGGGAGGAGAGCACGCCTCTGCAGGCAGCTCCAACTGGAGTCCCTCCATGGCAGTCCCTGCCACTTCAGCCTGGGCAGCCCATATGTTGGCACTAAACGGATGAGGTGGGCACAGAATTGGCAGTGGTGTTGGCATTTCTGTTATTGCTGTGAGAAATTAGAAAGAAATCACTAGATCAACACAGATGTCTTCTAGAGAGCAGTCAGTGCCTTTGTGGGGTGAGGAAGACACACGCTCCAGACTTCCTCTGCAGCAGTAAGGGTTAGAAACCTAATATTGTAATGAGAGATTGAAGCCTGGCAGAAGCATATGGGACCACCAGAGAAGTGCTGACATTATATGCTACTGTATCCTGGCTTATTGTGACCCCTGAACCTGTCTCTGCAAGCAGACTTCTAGGACAGGCTGTGAGGAATGCTACAGCCAATGGAAATAACAAGAGGAAATTGGGCAGACTGAGTGTTCTTAGCCAAAGTGAAATTTGTCTTGGACTAGTAGGACCCTCACCTCATTGTGGACCCTTTGGGTTTCTGATCAGCTGGTGAGCGAGATCGGCTCAGTCACTGTGAGCAAAAGCTCACCTCTGAAAAGCCAAGTGAGTTCTAAACGTCACCATAGGCACTATTCCCCCACCCTTGTGTATTTCTCATTATTAAAATGGAAGTGGTTTTCTGAGCGACAACCTGAGCTCCTCACTGGCTGATTGTCATACACATTGTTCTGGATAGTGACCCCAAAGCAATGACCACCTCACATCTCTCTCCCGTTTTTGTTTCCCAGCTTGCAAAAGAGACAACACACTGTGTGACAGGGCTTAGCTCCCAGTGCAGGTGTTGGCTTGAGTGTGGAGATGGGCAGAAATACTAGTTAGAAATGCACTGAGCCCTGCTTGCAGTCTAGGACAACAAGGACAACATCCAGGGAAATGGATGAGCACCGCCAGAGCAGCAAAAGGGAACTTCATGTTCTTCTCTTGCCCAACAAACACTTCCACCCTTATTCTTGAAGTCAGTGAAGGCTTTGGTGAAGACAAGGGCAACCCGCAGTCATGTAAGATATTTGATGAGATTGGGACTAAAAGGGGTGAAGGAAGGAAGGAAGTGATGAAATCGTGCAATAGTCCTTTTGCCGTCTGGACCACATCCGAAGTAAATGATCCTCTCACGGACATTTTCTCTCCCATTTCTGATCATGCAACATTTCTGTGGCAACTGCAGCAATTCCATACATGAAAAAATAATATTTAGCAGATGGAAACTAAGGAAGAAAGTCAAAGCCCTGTAATTAGCTTGTTCTCCATGGACTTGCAGATACCTTCAGAGCTCGTGCGGAGAGCTGTGGGTAGAGTCATGCCAAAAGGATAGAGAGCTTCACAAGCAGGAGATTAGGAAACCAAAGCAATCAGAGCTGATGGTCAAGGAGCTGTGGAGAGTTTTTTTAACCATTCTGTTTCCTAAACCGTTCCACATGGTTCCATGTCTTTATCAAGCCCTCCTTTCTGAGTTTGAGGCTGGCTTTTGCTGTTGTAGTGTATATTTTTCCAGGGCCTCACAGAAAGGCCACAGCTCCTGGTAAATACTTCATTATTTCTGTTTCACCCCTCATTCTTTCTGTCTGACAGTACTTTGATCAGGAGGCCCCCAGCATTCATAAGGTGGTAGAAAGTAGACTTGCTTAAAAAATGGGACATGGAATAGAGTATTGCAAACAGCATATGGCCCATTCAGTGTAGGGACCACAGGAACTTTGTAGGTCCAAACTTAAAGGGTAGCATGATCCTCCTGAACCCTCCTGTGTGTAGGAAACATTGCTTTTGAAGATGTCTTTGAAGGTCTGGTTGAAGAGGCAAAGTGTTCAGTGTTCTCACTGATGGGATTTGCTAGTTGCAGCAGGATTTAGAAGGCCTAAGTCACCTTGGGACAAATGCAAAAATCCATAATAACAGTATCTGCATCTGAGTTAGCCATGACTGAGGAACAGCGTGGGTTTTGGAATTACAGCAGCGTGATTTCCTGGTAATGGTTCCCTGCTCCCCAGGCTGTGGCTCACCTGGAGACTGCACGAGCCATAACAGGCAGTTTCCCAGTGAAGGAAATGCAAACTGTGCTGCTGGCTCTCCCCTGGCTCAGGACAGGGGCTCCTGCTTGCCTTTCATGCTCTTTTAACTCTGATGTGGGAGCTTCAGGCAGCTTTTCATGACTTTATAACCAACCTACACAGTATCATCCACCCACAAGTGCTCTTTCCTGGCTCCCTGTCCCAGGCAACCTTTCCTTATAAACATCTGGCATTTATTTGCTGTCCTGCTGGGAGCTCCCCCTCTGCTGTAACTCTGCACAGTCACATTCCAGACATGGTGCCGTCATGTACCACTCCAGGTGCTCACGGGGGACCTGACACAGCTCAGCCCCGACCTTGGGCTCTTCCTGCTCGGGCACCAGCCACAGCAGAGACAGAAGAAGCAAATTCAGCTTTTACCTCAAAAACCACGAGGGAAATCAGCCTGGGCTCAGCTCTGGAGGAAAGCAGCATTGAAGGGACTAAAAGCAGAGGAAAGCTCAGGATTATGTTTTCCAGCAGCCACAAAGTAATCCCAGGGCCAGATGCCAACACCAGGAGCTCTGCTTACTGCTGGCATAAAGAGACAGACAAATATTAGCAGGGCTGAGAACCCACCTAGAACCCTAGAAAAAAGCAGTTTCCCATAATATATCCTCAACAAAACTTAAAGTCGAGCAGCTGTTCAGGGTTTCATCCATCTGAAAGGGGTGCTTTTGCAAAGTGTACATGGCTCTTCAGTTTATCACAACATATGCTGCACTGGAAAGGAATGCCCCCCATACCAAACAGCCCCCCCAGCTCTGCAGAGGGAAATGGCTGAGCTTCCACCAGCGAATGGTTTGATCCCAAGCAATAATGTTTGAGTTTGGGATACACAGCCTTTGTGTACACCCAGAAGGACAAACAGAGCTAAGTGCCTTCCCCTTCCAGAGATTTCAGATTATGTTCACACGCGCAAGGACTGAACGTGTGGGGAGGCATAAAGAGGTGGCACCGATGGGGCTGGTGTGTCCAGCTGCAGAAACCAGAAAACCAGGTTGATGTCTACAGACACAGTCAGCCAGGGGCAGGAACGTTCTGTTTTACATAAGGAAACCCCAAACATCGCTGGAAACAGAACTGAGGGATTATTATCACGTCATTTTTGCAAAATATAGAGCAAAAGCTACGTGACTGCATAATCATAAAGATCCTTTAGCAATGAGCTGCTATCTTGCAGATCTGCACAGCCTTCAGTTTTGGTGACCAAGAATGCAGAAGGGGTAATTTTTTCTTCTTTTTTGGTAATTGCATAGTACAATTTAGCTGTAAGAGGCAGCCAACTGCCTTGTAGGTAAGTGGGTGAAGAAAATTGTTGCTGGTCCAATGTTCATGTGTTTACGAGGCTCTGTCCACTGTCACCTGACCCAAAGTCATTCCCAAAACCACTGTTAGGATCACTCACATGCTAACAATGCACTGGGAAGTATCTCAGAGGGGTAGAGGACACTGAAAACAGCTGCTCCTATGTCTTCTTCCAGACATGCTTTTTCCTGTGTCAGCTTGTGTTCTCACATTTTTCTCTTACTTCTGGACAGGACAGTATTTTTAAGTCTAGAAGAATTGTGTTTTAAAGTGATAACTCTATAAATAAATAGCTAACACCCAGATGACTTTGGTCAAGAAAGAGAAAAATGTGACAGTTGGCCACTGCAGGAAGCCAGTTCCCAGGACCTGGATTTTATGAAGTGTTGGAAACAGGGATAGTACTTTGTTTGACTGGAGACTCCTGTCCTCCTTGTGCTGCCTAAATTGCTGTGTGTAATTTCTGTTGTGAGACGTGTGGGTTTGTCATATGTGGAAATGAGCTGGTGGCTCACACATTCTAAAGATAGGTTCGGGCACACGCAAACACGCTTTACTCTTTAACTTTCTCCCTCTCAAAATCCCTGGACACTTGCACCACAGTGTGAAACTACTGCTGTGGCTTAGTTCAGTTGTGCTGTTTTATAACCTTGCTTTTGGCCAATTACCAATTCCCTCTGATTTCTCTGATTTTTGCCTTAATTGCCAGGGGGACAAAGGTGCGATGGGAATCCCTGGGCGGCCGGTAAGTCAAACCCTCTTTTGTGTGCCTTATCATTCCCATTCTCTTCCAACCCCCAGGATTTGGGGGTGGGGGAGGGTGGCTTTCAGGATAATCCTTGTCATTTTGAGCAAAACTACTCTCCCTGAGCCTCACACCTGAGGGGTTCCCCTGGTCTCAGCAGGGTGACCAGCCCTGCAAGCCACATACATGCTGGGGAGGTGTTTCCCTTTCACCTGCTGTACTATCCAGGCCCTTCTCTGGTTCAGCATCCCCCTGTTTGGGTGTCTCCCGTTGCCATCTCGTGTGCCAGCTGGGCTTGCTAACCCTGGGTTTCCTAACACACGCCCCTGCTTGCCACTGGCAGCTGCCCCTTCCAAATAACTCTGCCCTGTGCAAAGGGGGCCATCCCCTGCCTGGCTGAGTGCTGTATTTTGGAGCTGCTCCTTGCTCAGGCATCCCATGGTGAGGATGGGGAAGAGGATCAGGGCAGGAGCTGAGGCCACCCTGCTCATGCCAGCCCCATAGCCAGGGTTGTGTGGTGGGAGAGCGTGCCTTTGCCGCTGATGCCTGTGTTTGTCTCTCTCTCCTTTCTCTCTCTCTTCCCTGCACCCTCTTGCATGTGGCTGTGACGGCTGCCACTGACCCAGGGACTAAAAGGGCAATCTGGAGAGAAGGTGAGTCAGCTCCCTGTAGTCTGTAGCACCCCCAAACTGTCCTCTTCTAGGGCCAGCCCGAGCTTCCCTGTCACAGCCATGGCCACTGCAGCCAGCTTTGGGCTTCTGTGAGGTCCCAGTTGTTGGTTTCTCTGTGTCTGGATTGAAGGCACTTGAGACAGTAGTTCATGTTCAGACTCAAGTGTTTATTATTTCTTATCAGTAAAACAGTCTCACTACTGTGAGTTCTAATGTACCTTTCATTAGAAGGTACAAAATGGCCAACAATCTCTTGTTACAAGGTCTTTTAAGACTAAACTATCCAATTAAGAACTGACACCTGGATTATTTTCCCTTTTAGCCCAATAACTGATCCCAAAGAGCCCAATTACAAAATGCCACCCAAACCCATGAAGAAGGAAGAAGCACGAAGAAGAAACCCAGGACAGCACCCTGTTCCCTCCATCTTGCTTCCAGCCACAACATACTAAAAATCCCAAAACCTAAATTTCTCACCAAGTGATACACCTACACTACTCTCTAGAATCTATTTCACACTTTTGTGGATTCTGGTCTATCTTGAAGTCTAGGAAACTTTTTCTCCATGAATGAGGGTCAAAGTCAGTGCTCCCCTGGGGGTCAGGGCACCCTGAAGCAGACAGAGAAATATTCCCAATGCCCTGGGCTTCCACAGGCTTCCACACCCCTGGGCTTCCCCATCTTCCATGTCAGTGCAAGTATATTTCCTAAATTCCTTCCAGGCCAGTCAGCCTCCAAAGATGCTGTGTTTCTTGTTTATGACAATTTACTAACAGCCTAAGAGCCAGTGGGTACATGCAGGGCTTCCTTCAAGGCTTCCTGGATTTTAACCATTGACTTTCTCCCCCTCTGGCAGCTCTGCTTGTCCCGTCCAACCTGCAGCTCCCCTCTATCTCCCAGGTTAGCCTGATCCCTGGTGCAGGTGGGAGCAAGGAGTAAAAGTGGCATGGCATGCTCCTATTTCTGACATGGTGGGACCTCTTCCTCCTGAGGAAAGCTGGTGGTCTGTGGGACACCATCTCCCAGACTGTTTGCTGTGCAGCGAGTTGAGATTTGTACCCACAAAGGAGTGCTAGTTTACTAAGTGATCCTACTGCTGGCCCATTTTGAAGTGTTTGGCTTTTCAGTGCTAGTATATTTTCCCCAGAGCTGTACCTCCCACCTGGGAGAGCAGGGAAATTGAGGTGTTTGGGATTCGGGAATAATTGAATGTGTAGAAATTAAGAAAGGTGTGGATATTTACCTCACAAGGAAGCTCATCTATGCAGTACCATACCAGACCCATTTGCTCCTCTTCATAATAGGGAGAAAAACACAACAAGGAAGGGGGAAGTAGGAGATAGAGATTCTTCATCCTTGTGTTCACTGTTTGCTTATTGGAGCCAACCAACATCCACCAGACCAGAATTTCCCACCCAAAGCCATTCTGCTGTTTTCTCTGCATGTCCTTGCATTTGTTTCTGGCCACAGTTTTCATGAAGGGACAGCAGATAGATACAGACAAAAATGGGAAAAAATCACTTCTAATTGCCCCTGCTGCCCCAAAGGCCTCCCTGAGAGCCCTAAGTCTTTGGCAGTCCATAGCTTTGTTTTTCAGAGTGCTTTGCTTTCTTGCAGGCTGCTTGGTTTGTGGGATGCTCTGTCCCAAAGCTCCTCAGCCCTGGGCACTTCTGGAGCTGCCTCTCAGGAACACATCATGCTTCCAAAGAGAGTGACATGTCCTGCCCATCACACACTGTGGGTGGCTAGGAGTTGGAGAGGCAGCTGTTTCCTTTTCCAGCAAGCACTTTGCTTTGTTTTCATCCACATCTCAACTGAGTTTGAGAAGTATGCAAGTGAGGCATTCCTGGAGGCAATCAAATGGGCTGCCTGCAGCTCCCATTTCCCTGGAGCCCAGCACATCCCTCTTTGTCTTTCTTCTGCAGGACACAACCCTCCTGGAACTCGCAGGAAGGAAACAGAAAAGGTTTCAGGCCATCTTTCACACTTGCAATGGGGCAGAACATCTGTTTTGCCAGAAAGTGTTTTATGTGTTTATACTTCTCCTTGCTGTGCAGCTTCCATTTTCTGGCACATCTGAGCAGCTCTCAAGGACATCTTTTTTCCCCAAGTGTCAGGCAGGAGCTGGGGGAGGCCAGAACAGCAGCTGCTCCATAAGCCCTGAAGATCTCACACCTAAGGCATCCTCATTTACCCTCAGTCTTGACAGGAATATCATTGTGTTTTCCTCTCCTATTCTCACCCCTTTTCCTCTGCTTTGTCTCTCTGCAGGGTGCTCCAGGAGAAGCTGGCATGTCCATCATTGGGCCCCGTGGTCCACCCGTAAGTGGCTTTTCTCTCTATTTTTGTCTGATGCAGGATGTGGGCTAGTTGCTGAGAAAGGCTTAGGAGGGGCATGAAGACTCAGCATCATCTGGAAAGAGCAAAAACCCTGTATAATGTGGTTCCCATGCTGAACCAGCCTTGGTTTTATACTGCTATTATATACTATATATAATGAAATTATAGCTCATATTCCAGAACAAATGAGGAAGCCTTCCCTTGGCAAGGAAACCAGAGTCCTGCATTTAAAAGGAAGAAGCGTATTTCCTTTGTACAACAGGACTGCTATCACTTCTGGAGAAAATTTGCCCTTTGCCTAGCTAATTTCAGCCTTTAGTTTAATCAGCAGAGAATAAGCCCCCTGATTTTACTAGGAGCAGGATCAGAGCTAAGCCAGTGACTGGGGATCTCACAAAGACACAGAGTAGTTCAGAGGTCTTAGTCATGTACCCAAAATCTTGGAAGCTCTTTGTTAGCATGGTTACCACTTCTCTGGCTGAGAAAAGGTGGGATTTTGCACCCTCTTCCAGTAAAAGTGTCTCTACAAGGTGCAACGAGTCAGCCAAGATGAAAGGTTGGAGTGTTTACGTGCCCTAAATGCTGGATGCTTCTTGCACTGTGGCTCAGCCATCAAGCCTCTGCTTTTGTGCGGGTGCAGCCAGACCTCTCCACTCCATCCCTGCACAGCCTCCACCGGAGATTTCCATGAAAAAAGACCTGGAGATTCAATTCTCTCCCTCCCAGTGGGCACTTCCGATTTTGATTAACCTGTGAAGAGCACCGTCCTTGACCTGCAGAGAGGATGGGCTGCTGGCAGCCTTTGTTTCACAGCCGAGGTCAAGTGAGAGAGACCCAGGCAGTGCAAACACTTGGCTACATCTGGCTTTCCAATTAACTTCCCAAAAGCCCCATGACAAGTGTTTCTAATAAAAACCAGCTTTGCTGGTCCCCAGGCCCACCTGCCAGGGATGCTGGAGTTTGAGAAGCGGCAGAACCAAAGCCCAGGACCCAAATGGGTCTCCCCAAGTGTTTTATGCCTAGCAGATGGTCCTTGGCCACGTGTCCAGGCAAGGAAGAGGGGCTGGCAAGTCTCTCAAGCCAAGCTCTGAACAAGACCACCCTGCTCCACAAACAGCAGATTTTGGAGGGTAAGCGCCCCGTTGCTTTTGCTGTTTCTCACAAGCTCTGGCTCTCAGCCTTCTGAACAGAGTAATTATAGTAATCAGAGAGAAAAGCCATCAGGTCCTGTCCATGTAGGTCCTGCAAAGGAGACAGTTTTCTTGAAGTACCTGGGCTGCAGGACAATTTTGTCTGCTTTGGTGCTGCTGCCTTTGCTGCTGTTTAGGAAGGTGCAGAACACGTTGCATCTTTAAAGCAGCAGAAAAGTTAGATGGCAAATAGTATCTGAAATGGGGTTTTGCAAACTACACCAATCAAAGCCCTGAGGTGCCAAGACCAGCCCAAATCCACACTTTCCCCCTGCAAAGCCTACTGTGAAGATGATCCAGTTTCCTGGGGAGCTGGTGATAGGTCAAAGGGATGGCTGAGCACTGAAGACAAACACGGAAACCCTGGCCAAGGGGCCACTTGGAAAGATGTGGGATGACAAATAGTTTCCAGATTTTTGTTTGGAGGTTAAAGTTTTTGCCTGAGCTGCTTAGCTCCTGGCCAGAGAGGGACAGAGCGCCGATAGTGGCAGAAACAGACGGTCTCCATGATTTGGCAGATCCCAGGATTACATACTTCATACAATCAACATTTTAAAAAGGAGACAAGGAAAACCAGCCACCCAACAAAAACAGTCTCTTGGAATCACTCGCTGCTGAACTGTTGTCTTGGCGTGATACCGTGCAAATCATTCTGCTGTCCTCCAAGGAGAAAGAAGCAGCAGTCTGTAGTCTACAGAGGAAGCCAAATTGCACCATTTCCAGGTTTTCTCCCTAATTCTTTTTTTAGCACTTTTTGTCAGGGAGGTGTCCAGCAGGGAACCAGAATTCTGGCTGGGCTCTTCTTGCTTCTTGCCTTTTCAGAAGCCAGCGGTGGACAGATCCTTTAATTTATAGCCTATCTTCCCTCCTGGTCACTGGCCAACAGGGCCAGGTGGTTTTGTGTGTGTCTTGCAAAGCAAAGCTGACCAAGTTCAACTTTGCAGAACTAAAGAAATAGTGAAAATGTGATTAAGTCCTGCTAGCATTGCGTCGAAAACCAGAACCCTTCAGTGCAGTGTGAGGGATTCTTGTGGTGGGGGCATCCCTCAAACCCTGCAAAGAGGCTCTTTGGGGCAGTCCTCTGCAGGGGTAAACCCTCACCGAGTCTCTGCAGACAGAGGGTGGCTGGAGATGTTACCTGAAGGTGAAGGTTTTCCCTATCAGTGCAACTCTGAGGTTTCCCAAAGGATTATTTATTGCTTCACTGTGCCAAACCTCAGCCTCACAGCCCAGGAGCCCCATCTCCTCCTTCCTTTCCCTTCCCTCAGCACCACATGGGATCACTCTAGTTAAGGCAGAGATGCACTCTGTTTATGCCTAGCTCTACCCTAGGAAACTCCTGTGGGGCTCCAGCAGTCCAGTCATGGTAGCTCAAATTGCTGAAGAAAGCATTTTTTTTCCCCCAAAATGAGAGAACACATAAGGAAGCTGGGCATTTTGGCATCATAGCCCAGCTTTCAGGGTAGGCAGGATGCCACAGTGGTCAGCTGATGAGCGTGGCACAGGATTTACCTCATCCGGCTGTTTCTGTCTACATGAGAGTGCTTCAAGATCTGCTGAAGTCTGGGCCAGATGGACCATATGCTTCCTGACCTTTTTTTTTTTTTTGGAAAACAGATTGAAAAATCCTTAAGTGAAGTGGTATCTTCACCAACAAAGCTATGGTAACTGTGACCTGGGATGTCACATGCTCCAAAAACTGAAGAACTACGAAAAATTAACAGCCAGGACATTTTCTCCTTTTTTGGTGTTCTTAAGTAGGGCATGAAGAAGCTGCCAAACACATCCCAAGCCGGTATTTGCTGGACCTGATCCCAACCTGGTAGCCATAGCTAGCTAGCCAGGAAGGGCAGGGGGAAAAGTGGTGGTGCTCATGTTCCTCTCATCACACAGCCTAACTCTCCTTTTTGTCTTAGCTCTCAGAGGATAAAAATAAAAATTAAAAAAAAAAGAGAAAAAAAATCATCTCCAGAATTATTTCTGAGGAAAATGAATGAGCTGGGATATAAGATGAGGAGTGGAGGAGGAGAGGGATGGTTGTATTTAGACACCAGTGACCTGCAAGGCTTGTCTTGCATAGAACAGCACCCTGCATTAAACATCTCAGGTTTATGGCAGCAAGAACTGCCATAAAATGAGCTCAGCCTCTGGAATATACTCCAAAAGCCTAACATATGGGCTAGGGACACCCATCTAATTAATGTAGAGACTTCAAGGAAACTGCCTGCAATCCAAACTGGAGCTGCTCCAGCATTTTCTTGGCCCTGTACAAATTGGAGAGGGGATGAGAGATTTCCCCTCCTTCCCAAGACACTTTCCCCTTGGAGGGGAATTGGGTATCTCTTCAGAGAGTTGAAGGATAATTGGTCAGAAGCTGGAGGAAAGGCTCTGTAGAGAGGACTTAGGATCCATCAAAATTCATTTCAGTTCCTCTAAACTGCTGTCTCTGTTTCATCCTTCCCAGGGACAGCCTGGAACAAGAGGTTTTCCTGGATTCCCGGTAAGTGTAACTCTGAATTTATGAGGTACGGATGTGTGATACTACTAGGAAGCCTCATAAGTGCTCGCTGTATCTCATCATTTCTTCCTGAAACCAATGACCTGATCTGATATCACTGGAAAAAGCAATTTTTTCTTCATTTGTTTTTCTGCTACTTTTTTTTTTCTTCTTTTAAGCGACACTTAGGGAGAAAAAAACTCCTACCAAATCAAACCACACAACTCGGAAAGGAAATTAATTTTAAAAAATCCCCAAGTGTTAAAATAACATAGTTAAAGCCAGTAAAAGAAAATCATCCTAAGAAATACCCCTATCCCAAACAAAGAAAACAACCCCTAGGTAGGGGAAATTCCAACTTTAATTGAGCTTTTAGGTGATATTCCAATAGCAGCAAGTGCCTGGGCTCCAAAAATGGCCTTGCCTGCTGAGGGTCAGCTGGGGACTGTGCTAGGCTGAACACCCTGGTCATGCCAAAGGGAAAGGACATGAGGGGGAATTCTTCTCCAGCACAGTTGCAGGGGAACAGAAATAATGCCCAGGAGAGGACAAAGCAAATTTCATTTCAATCCTACAGTTGCTGGCAGCACTCTGTGAAGTGCTGAGGCTGCTGAAGAGCTCCAACAGATGCTATTTATCCATATGCATTTATCCTGGACAGCTAGGAAGCCTGAGGCAAACACAAACACCCCCCACATCCCTGCTCCTGCCAGGCAGCTCAGCTGCTGCTCCAGGACACTGGACGTGCCAGAGCAGGTCTGCAGGGGGGACTCTCACGCCTGGAAAATGGGAGCAATTGGCAGCCTCCCGCTGTCTGCCCGGGCTCCAAGGCTCTGCTCCTTGTGACAGGGGGGTGAGAGCTGCCCCTGGGCTGAGGAGAAGCAGATCTCTCCAGGCCCTTGTGGTCTTTGGCTTTTGGAGGAGCAGAAAACAAATCGGCCCAGCTCATGAGAAAGTGCTGGGTGGGACAGCACTGTGGAGCCTGTTTCTCATCAAACAGTACCTTCAGCATGTGCTGAGCTGTATGTCACCTCTTCCCTGAGACACTTCTATTATTCTGTCATTTGCAAAAAACCCTTCCCCCAAAGGTGGGTGCCCTTTTAAATCAAAGTCTTGAGAAAACTACTGATATTCAGCTAGTTTACTGAACACCGTCAAATTTTAAATTCTGAGATTTTTTTTGCAAATTGCCTATGAGTCCTTCCTTGCTTCTGTTCCTGTGTCCAGCATTGCTGCTGAAATGTGCTGACAGTGAGCAGGTCCCTGCTGAGGCAGTTTGAAATCTGGGCTGGTTCTCAGTGGGCCAGGGACCTGCCAGGACTGGACAGGAGGGCAGGGAGTCACCTCACGTCACCCCAGCCCTGCAGTCTTGTGGCACATCTTGTCCCTCTGCCCCAGTGCTTCCTGGGGCAGAGGGACAAGATGGACAGACTCCATGGGGAAAGCATTTCTCATCGTTTTTTCCTCTTGTATTTCAGGGCCCTATTGGCTTGGACGGCAAACCGGTAAGTGAAGAACTCCTCTGCAGGATTCTGCCCTGCCTCCTGCTGTCACACCACGTGTTTCAGGGACAGTGTCATGCACATGCATGGATTAAAAGAAAATTAGGAGGTTGGCAGGCAGGAGGATGCCACAGATGCCTTGGGGGAGATGCAGGAGTCAGGAGATGAAGGAAGGCAGAGTATGGCCTCTTCCTTTCTAGGTAAATCTATAAAATAGCAGTTCCCAAGTGCAGCAGCCTGGCACTCCCACCCAGAATCAGACAGGCAGAGCAGATCCCTGAGGTATCAGCCCTCTGCCTTGGCCAACAGCTTCCTGCTCTTTGCTCCCAGACAAAAAGAGCTGCAGTAGAGGAGGGAAGGATCCTAAAGACTCTGCAAGACCTCCATGCTGTCCTTAGAGATTTGCAGTAGAAACCCAAATTCTTCCCATCCTTCAGAGCTGGGCACAAAGGAGCTACTTCTCCATGAACCCAGTGGGCATGAAACCCATATCCACGTAGCAGCCATGTAGCCAGGTTCCTCACCACACTCCTCCAGTCCTGTAGTGGAGAAGGAGCTGGTAGCATGTACCTCTGGCTTCTGATTTCCTGTTCTTGCCATGAGCAACTTCACCCCCAAGAGAGATGTGGCAGCACCTTTCTTGCACTGCTCTGGGGACACACACTTCACTCAGCAGAAGCTGTTAAATCAACATCATCTAGAGTCTGCAGTGGCCAAAGCTGATGTGTGTTTCCTTTCTTTTGCAGGGGCATCCTGGACAGAAGGGAGAGATGGTAAAAATCCATGTTTGTCTGTGGGTTATGGGTTGGTTTGCAATTATGTTGTGCCTCAGCTGGAAACAAGCTCAGGGGCAGGGTAGCAATCTTACCTCAGCTGATGCACTAGCTGCATCCCTAATTCTGTAACTTCATAATAGCAGTGCTGGGATGCATGTCTGTAATTTTTGCATTATGGCTAGCACATTCTTCATGTCACAGCAGCAACTCTCTAGTTACGCATGGGATGTGTTTTCCTTGCACTTAGCAATTATGTTCTTTAAATATATTCTGGGAGCTGACATTTTTCGTGGTTGGCCTCATAGGACAAGTAAAAGTTGATGGAAAGATTTCTGAAAACCCATCTGGCAGCTTTCAACTTATCTAACAACAACCAAAAAAAGCATACTTTTTGTATTAAATGTGGTTCCCACACCACCCCCCCCTCCCCTCACCCTCTTGAAGCTCTGTTTCATATGTGCATCATACTAAAATGCTTTTGGTTGAAAATGATAGACTGCACTTCATGGAAGCCCAAATGCTGTCTTGTTCCTCTTGACATCTCTGATGATGAAATCCCAAACATGAGTCTGTCAAGAGAGAGGCTCTGTAGTCACCTTCACTCACTAAAGTGTCGAATGCTTTCTTCTGCTAATTCTGTAATTCTGTTTTTGAGCCTGAGTGTCAGTATAGCCCTCTGGCAAGCACATGTTGAAGGTCCCCCTCCCCACTCCCCTGTTGCACAATCCCAGCTCAGGCTTCAGTCCTGGCTGCTTCTGGTTCCATCCCAGAGCGTGGCCGAGGAGACGCAGTCAGCTGAGGTCCTGGGAACAATAAGGGTGTGTTTTCCTCATGGTTTTTTCCCCCTCTCCTTTTAATATTTCCCCCCCGTGGTGCAGCCAGAGCATGTGTGCGTTTTTCACTCCTCCAGAGTAACAAAGGGAACCCGGATCTCTCTTGGGAATTTTCTTCACAATTGTTTTTAAAAGCTTAGTTTTTCACCTACTCCATACACTGTTTTTTTGTCACTGTAAATGGAAAATCATCCCGTGTTAAATTCTGTGTTTCTTTAAAGGGTGCTGCAGGTCCCAGGGGACAACCTGTAAGTATCCCATCCCTATCCCATCTCTCCCCCTAATCCCTTGCATTCACTGAACTCCTTCATTTACTGAGGCCTTTTTGGATCACTTTTCTCTTACAGGGACCCCCAGGACAAAAAGGAGAGAAGGTAATTTCAGTGGGGGCCTTGTTAAAAGAGAGGAAGGGACGTGGTGGACTTGGTGCTGCTTGATCTGAGTGAGTGAGGAGTACCAAGAGCAGAGGGCTCAGGGGATGGGGACAGGAGGCAGGGTGCTTATCGGGTGCAAACTGGCAGAGCTGCACTGAGTTTGATAGAGTCACAATGATTTACACCTTCTGGGGCTGACCCTGTGTGCCTATTTTGGTCGCCTGTGTTTGTGGTTTAAACTCTTTCCTTTTTAATCCCCTTTTTTCACAGGGTCAGTGTGCAGAGTACCCGCACAGGGTAAGTCATTAGCGTTATTATCCTCTGTCCCGTGCCTCCCTGCATGTTAATCCTCCTTCGTTTGAATGGCTTTTTGTTGGAGGTAGAGATCGTTCCATTAACAAGATGCGTCATCTGGGCCCCCGGGGCAGTGCTCGGCTGATTGATGTGTTTCGCAGAAAAGCAGCAGATAAGGTTTTCCAGGAGGGATGTTGGTTCTCCGGTCTGTTCCTGCCCAGCAGAGCTGACCCCTGGATAGCTGCAGTCAGTTCTGCTTCCTGGAGACCCTGCTGTGCTTTGTGCTGGAGAGGGGAAGGTCCATGTCCTGAGCCCAAAACCCGGTGAAACCTGGGGGTTCTGGAGGAGCAGAGGTCACCCACTCCTGCCTTGAGCTGCTGCACTGGCTCCACAGCACTGTGGTGCTTCCACAGCCTCTGCTCTGGTTGTGTGGCCTGGAGCAGTGTGGGGTTTGAAACCTGGGGAAAAATCATCATTCCTCCCTCTTTCTTCTCCCTCGTGCTGGTGTCATCCCTGCACAGAGACAAGGGGAAGGGTTGTGCTCCCTGCCTGAGGGTAAGCCTGCTCTGCCTGGCCATGGTGCTCTGTCAGGTCCCCCGTGAGTTGCTCCCCAAGCCTGATGGACTTTCTCCCTGCAAGGAAGAGGCTGAGCAGGAGGGTTGATGCCAGCAACTGTCTAATGAAAGCCAGGATGTTGCCCCACCTGCCCCTTCTTCTTGGCCTGGCCAGCATGTGCTGCAGCCAAGAGTGGAGAGAGAACATCATGGGGTTTGGAGGGGATTTAACCAGTTCTAAAAACAACCAGAGTGCTGAAAATCCACTGGAAATGCATTGGAACAACATCATATGAAGTGGCTGGAATTTGTAATCTGGGTGTACAGGGAGACAAGCTTAAGAGCTTTCTGTTTATTTTTGATGGGCCTCTGGATAATCAGCTGGGCTCTGGTCCCTGGCCCGGAGGGAGTGGGGCTGGAGCGGCAGAGCCACTGGAGAGTGAGCTGGGCTGGCAGCAGGGAGAATGGGGCTGCGGGGAAGTGCCAGTCCCCGTGCAATAACAGCCGCTCAGCTATGTTTATTTAGTGAGCCGGCTCACTAGATTGTTATGTTAAAAAGAAGCCAACAGCGCTGGTCACCCGAGCAGTGTCCTGAGTTCCTGTTACAGCCCTTGGCTCTGACTGTCCCCAGTGCTCAAGGTGAAAAGCAGTGGCAGGACCCAGAGCAGCACTGGGAAGGGAGCTGGTGCATCCCTGGAAGTAGCCTGGGCTCAGGCCTGGGGGCAGAGGCACACTGGTTTGGTGGGTCAGGGTTGTGGGGTGGCTGGTGAGCTGCAGGGCTGTGACAGCAGGAAAAGGGTGGGTGCAAAGCTTCACATCCTAGCAGCATTTCCTTGCCTCTGTGGAGATACTTTTGGTCTCATGAGGCACCAAGCTCAGCATTATAAAAAGCCCATGAGTTGTTCACGGCTGAGACACACTCACAGCAAGGGTGACTGTCCTCAGATCAACTCAAGGACAGGCTGTCCTGAACTGCAAGTTCAGGGAGCCAGAGGCACAGACCAGCCAGCAGAGGTGCAGTTCTCTTTCTTCCTCCCTGAATGAAAATTAGGATGGGTCTTGTTGCAAAAATGTGACACTGCTGACCGAATTGCAATTTATTCTTGCTTTTGTGTTTGATAAGGCTCTTTGTCAGATGTTCTGGGTGAGGAAAGGAAAACCAGCATCCTGACAAACCGGGGATGTTGTTTCAGTTTTGTTTCATATTTGTTTTCTTAGGAAGGAAATACAAGGTTAGGATATGTGCCTTGGCTCTTGTATTTTCCTATTTTTTTTTCTGTATGAGTCTGTGTGGCCTGCACTGCTGTGAGGGATGAGCCCATGCATTGGTGCTGCCCATTCAGGGTGAGAGGGCCCCTCAAGCTGCTGCCAAGTGCCACTCAGGGGAACGGGGGGACCAGCCATGCTGCTCAGAAATGCTGTTTGTCTCACTGACCCCGTTTGTCTCGTGTGTATTCCCTGTTCCCCAGGAGTACCTAAGTACCACACTTGCAGCCCTGCGCTCTAACCAGATCCTCACGCTGAAGGTTTGTGGGTGGTGTTCTGAGGGGACCCAGTTCTGATGCAAAGGCTCGAGGGTGCAGATCCAATATTGCACGCTGCTTTCTGAGGAAACTTCCCATTGGAACACAGAGGGGGAAGGGCAGGAGCTGGGTGGAAGTGCCTTCAGATTTCTTCTCTCCTGAATCCATTGCAGGGTCTTGTCTTGCCTGTTTTCAGGACTGGTTCTCTCCATTTTCCTCCTTATCCTTTCCAGCATCCTCCTTCAGTTTCCCTGTAAGCTGTGTGATATTTCAGGTGCCCTTCAGCACTTAAGCAGCCAGGCAAAGCCAGCTTAGCTGGCTCTCCTGAGCTAAGGGGCCTCCTGCACTGTCTTTTGGAAAGGGGAGGTTTGCCTTTGGGTAAAATCAGCCCAGCTGAATTTCCAGCAGCGCTGCTTTTGGAGTGATAGCTTGTGGCTGTCTGGATCAGTGCATTTGAACACAACCATCTGGTCATGATGCTGCAAAATTGGGTTACCTCTTCTCTTTGCAACAGAACTGGGTCCTTGCTTTCACTGCACACATGAAGTACAATGTTTAAAGGGGATAAAATGTGCTCCTTGGAAGTGAATGGTTTCTGTGGTGGGACACCTGTGGCACACCTCTGGGATCTGAGTGCGCAGCTCACGCGGGGAGATGTCACACATGGGCACCTTTTTGTGCCCAAGCACAGAAAGGCTCTCTCACCTTTCCCTGTGTAAATCAAGAGCAGCTTCAATGGAAAACTGATAGGAACAGGAAAGTGGATCAGGCCAGAGCAGATTCCTGGGCCTGGAGCCGACATGGTGGGTGCCAGGGTGACAGCAGCGTGCGTGCAAGTGGAAACTGGATACGGCAAAAGGATGAACAAATGCTCCTGAGCTTTAGTGCATTTGATTTCTGTGTGTCCGGGTCAGCTTTGTGCCCTAAGGCAGCATTCCTGGCTATAAGCAGTCAGAAGGTGATGATACTGTTGAGCAAGGAAAAACAAAGCTCAGGCTGCCAGGGCAATGCCCTGCTTAGATGTCCAGCTCTAAGGCCTGATCTTGTCCCTTGGCCGTGGTGGTTGTGTCTGCCAAGTTAAGTCAAGCAGGCCAGGACCTCTGTGCTGACCCCAGCTAGGTTTTCTCCGCTCCCTTCCACACTTGGAGGAAGGGTTAGGCATGGAGATACAATATCTGTATATTACAGATACAGTGGGTTTCCTGTAAGAGATCTAAAAAACTGCACTTGAAAATTTGGAGAAAATTATAATTCTGATAGATGCCCCAAATCTGATGGTGATGATGATAAGTTAAGAGAAGCAGTCCCATCACTGGACATCCTAGCAGAGCCAGTGAGGGATGTCTTGCAGTGAGCCCTTCCTAAGGAGATCAGCAGAGCTGAGTCAGAAATCCCCTGGCTAGGTTGTGTTTCGGAGCAGAGGGGGCTGTGAAAGCTCTGTGCAGTGAGGCACTGGGATGGTGAGTGGGCACCCCACACCTGCCAGGCTGGCCCCTGCTGGGTGCCCCGGGCAGCACGGAGCACTCAGAGGTGTGCCAGCAGGAATCTGCCCCGCGCCGCTCTCCCGCCGGGCTTCGTTCTCATGGCAATCTCTGTTCCCCTCTTCTCTGGTCTCTCCCCTGCTGCTCTCTGACTCTCGGTGCCCTAATGGCCTCCTTTGCCCTGCGACCTCCTGGTTTGGTCTTCCTCAGCTGCTGCCTCTTCTCAATTCCGTGCGGCTGGCTCCACCTCCGGTCATAAAGAGACGCACTTTCCAGGTAGACTTCTCCTCCTTGTTGCCTGTTTCTGAGCTTATCCCAGTGCTTGCAATTAATCAGCTTGCTACCTGTCTTTCTTCCCCTACAGAGGGCTTTCCAAGAGTTTCAGGCAGAGCTGAGGGACTTTCTTTAAAGCAGAGGAAATCTTTGATGTGATAATGTTGCTAAAAAGAAATGCAGTGAAGCCAGATTTTTGAACTAAAAGAAATGGGCCATGAAGCTGTTCTTGGGGCTGTCGACAAGCAGCCTCCTCCCTCAAGGAGTCAGTTCCTGCATATTCAATCTCCAGAAGAGGTTGGAAGCCTCTTGCTGAAATTCATCTAATGTCTGTGAAATTTAACTGAGATGAATGAATAGGCAAACGCTTCTTCTGAGGGCTAGTCTAGTCTGAGGCACTTGGGGAAATGTGTTTAAATAAGCTCTTAGAATGGTTTCATTAAACTGCATTAAATCTTTGTGTAAACACATTTATTTTGGTTTCCAGGGCCATAATTCATGTTTTGTTTATTTTGGGAATGAATTCATAAAGTGAATTACGGACATATGAATAGTGAATAAGAGTGTCCATAGTCAGAGTTCATGTGGCTTTTAATGAGCCCACTTTATGCTCCCTCGTTCCATCAATTGGGATTAGCTTTCCTGTGTGGACAAACTGCTGCAATTACCCTCCTGAAGTGTGCTGGGCACTCTTTATTGAGTGGCTGGGTTTTGTCACCCTGCTGCCTGTCTAGACAATCGGATGCCAGCAGGGAACTGCAGGATGCAAGAGACCTTTACCATGAGGTGCCTGGTCCTTGCCCAGCTCTGGACCAATCCTGACCTTCCCACTTGAGCCCGTGGTTTCAGCTCAGTTTCTATCGATTCAGCACTCACACCACACAGAGCCCCATGGACTGCGCTGTTTGCCCTTCAAAGTGACAGTCTGGAGAGCCAGGCCAAGGACTGACCTCTTGGGAAGGCTTTGAAAGCTGAAGTTCCTCTCCAGGATGAAGTGGGAAACTTGAATAGCTGCCCTACATCCTGTCGTCAGCCAGGGCTGCAAATTCCCTCTGTCCACAGAGGAAAACTTCACCGGAGTTTTGCCATGATCTGTTTTGCCTTTGCTGTGCTCATTCTCTAAATGCAACAGGGTCTGCTCCTGCAGATCTGCCAGCACCAGGCAATTCCAGGAGCCCAGCCTATGAGTACTAAGGAAAAAAGTGGGGTGAAAAATGGATGTTAGCACCAGCACCTGGAAGAGAGGAAAATCCTGCTGCTAGCTCTGAGCACATCAGCAGGAGTGCTTTGCCCAAGGTCTGGGGTTAGCTGAGCACGGGCTGAGTGGGGTCCTCTGTGAGGAGGCTGAGCAAGCATTGCGTTGCTGGGGTGCAGGCAGGGTGGCTGGCTGGTGTTTAAAAGAACTGAAAAATAGTTCCAGTCGGCAGCTAAAAATATAGAATGACAACTGAGGAAAATGACACCTGATCTCCCACTTACTGTATCCACTTAGTGTCCATTTAGCTCTGTCGGGGTCCTTTTGTGCTGAACACGTTAATGAGGCTATAATGATGTGGTAATAACACTTCGTGTGTTTAGGCATCTGCAAGGATAGGCACTTGCCTAAACAAAGCCTGCTGTGCCCAAGACAGCAAAGTGAGGGTGATGCAAATGTGACTTAGGGTGAGCTCCTTCCAGCCACTCCCTGTGCTGGGGCAGGGCTCCTGCTCTGCCATCTCCCTGTCCCCTACCAGCACCGTGCTGCATTTTAGTGCCCTAAATCTAGAGCATGGACTGGGCTGGCGGAGAGTAGCTGAGGTGGGAATAGAGAGAGAGCCAAAGGGAGATGGGCAAAGCCCCCTTTGCCTTCCCATTGTGCACCCATGCTGGGGGTATTACAAGATGCAGTGAGAGGAAAGTCTTTGAAGATGCAATGAGAGGTTAAGGCAGGAGGAAATCTAGAAATATATTCCAGTGTCCTCCCAACATCTTCATTAGGTCCAAATTACCTTCCCTATTTAAAAGCTCTGAGACCATTTACAGGATAGTTGAATAGCGCTGAGTATGGAGGATAAGGAAGCTTAGAAAAGAACCTTCATTCCCTTGCAAGGGCCACAGGATGAATTAAGATCCACTTTAAAACTGGGGAGAAGCAAGGGCACCCCTCCTGCCTGGCCCTGCAGGCTTCCCAGCGTGGGCTGAGGGTTGGGCAGTGAGGCACAGGAAAAGGGCTGTTGCTCCACATATGACCGAGCTTCTCATGAGCCTGGCCCACGTGTTGGAAATTTTCTTTTAAATAGAGCTCATGGCAGAAAGGATGAAATTTGCAGCTTATTACTTTCATTTATCATTCTAAATAAAGCAAACATCCCTGTATTTGCATGTTTTACTGAAGGCAGCCAGGATAAACAGTGCACTTGGTAGGAACACGGGGGACAGATTTCATGTATTTTCCTCCAATGTGTAAGGCTGTAGAGAGGAAAAATGCAGCAGAGACCCAACTGCACCCCCACTGACTTTTAATTGAGAAACAGCCATGTTTGGTTTCTAGATTCCCATGGATCCACCAAGGGAAGATTTTCAGATTTTAATTGGATCACCAGCAGTAGGCTGTGGTACTTTATCTAGGGAGGTGAGGCTAATAAGCGAGCAGCTTAGCACGGGTGCCACTGTGCCCTGGGAGCTGGATTAATCAGTTACAGGTCAGCAGTCTGGTATTCAAACGTGGTGCTTCCAACCCACAGTCTCCTCAGTGCCGCTTGGTGCCACGTCCAGGCCCTTGGGGCCAGATGACATTGCTGAGGCATGAGCCACAGCCACTGAGGGCTACTGAGGGGCCTGGGGAGGAGCTGGCTCAAACAGCTCCATCTCAGAGAGCTGAAAATGGCAGGTGGCTCAGCATGCACTGCCTTGTTAAATCTCAGAAAAACAGGCTCTGCCTGGTGTACATGGGCCTGCCTTGGGTGGGCTCCAGGAACGCCATGATGATCGTGTTATTTTCTTTTGGGTTTGTGGCATTTCTGGTTTTGGGCCTTGGCAAAACAGAGGGAGTGTTGTCCAACAAATATAGTATGGGGGGGAAACTGGCTGAGGTAAGACACTGTGGCTCTGCGTGGAAGTGCCAGTGTCGTCACGGGAGGCTTTGCTTCACATGTGACTGTCAAGTGCTTTGGAAAGCCTCCTCAGAGACTCAAGAGATGTTGGTCTTTGACACATAAATTTTACTTGGCTGGCTCAATGGAGCAAAAGGTCTTGTTGGACTGCTCTGTCATCACTAGATCCCTCTAGAAGGGAGCTCTGACCAGGTGACCTCAGAAATCTTAGCAAACCATTGCGTGGTGGCTGCTGCTCCCCAGGCAGCCCAGCTGTCCTCAGCAAGGCTCTCCATCACTCTTGGAAACTTCTCCTGGCAGTAACCTGGGACTTGCTTCTATCTCCTCTGCTTCAGTCAGGCTGGCCTGCCTTGGGCCCCTAGGGTGGTGGTGTGGAGCGTTTGCTCTGCCTGCTGGTAACTCTTGTTTTACAAACTGCAGGGTGAACAAGGACAGGCGGGGATCCAAGGTCCCCCGGGGCCCCCTGGTCCACCAGGACCCCCTGGACCAGCTGGGCCCGAAGGAATCCCAGGACATCCTGGACCAGTTGGACCCCCTGTAAGTCCTTACCAAAACTGAAATCCTTCTGCTTCCCCACCCCCTAGGGCACAGGCTGTTTCCTCTGTTGCTTCTAGTGAAGTTGAGATAGCCACGGACAGGAGGCTTGCAGAGAGTGTGGATGTGTGGACAGGAAGAAGTTCCGGGGAAGGAGGGGAGTGAGAGGGGAGGCAGAGATGTGAACTGGGCACTGCTGCTATCTGGACACACAGAGGGTGACACCAGGCTCATTTCCTCCTCCTGAGTCCCTGCAGATGGCCCCGGGGAGGAAGTAACATGTGGGGTGTAATTGTCCTGCTCCCCGCCACCCCTTTGGAGCCTTGTCCCTGTCCTAGCAAGCAGCCAAGGAGGGTGGGAGCAGAAGCACCATTTATAAAATAAAACCATTGCTGAATGGCAGGGCAGAGGACAGAAAGTGCTGCTAATGTCTCTCTCTCTTGCAACAGGGCAGAGCAGGAGAACCTGGAAAGCCTGGCAGAGATGGAAAGGTGGGTACCAGAATGGAGCTGCAGAGGCAAATGTGGCATGCTGGCTCTGCAGCCCCTGCAGAATGAAAGGAGCTTCCATCTCCAAGAGTTTTCAAGGCCTGCTAGCAGGAAAAGCAAGTCTTGTCCCTGGAGGCAAGTGCACCCCTCCCCACACAATACAGGGGTCAGCACTCTCATTTTTCTCTGAGAGATCTTCATCTCTGTCTGAGGAGCCAAGGACAGGATGGCTAAACACCTGAATTGCCAAAGCAGGTGGCATAGGCATCAGAAATCATCTAGAGTAGTTTTCCTTTCCTGCCTGCTCACAGGCAGCTCCTGCATAGATATTTTGTTTATTTATATTTACACACACATATGTCTAGTATGCTTCATGGTTCATATCAGGTAAATTGTTTGGGTATTTCTCATTTAGAGACACAAGTGGTTTGTTTGTTAATACATTCTCTCTGTTTAGCTTGCCAGAGGAAGCTGTAAATGCCTGATTTACTCAGAGCTGCAGTGGGCTGGGAACAAGTTCCCCAAGCAAGCCAGAGAAACAGAAAAGATTCAGAGCATAATGCATAAGGCAAAGCAGCTTTTTAGTCTTCAAATTGAGCAAGAAAAACCTGGGGGGATGGAGCACTGTTGGCATAAGTTTATTTGTGTGTATGCACTAAGACATCTACATGAAGAATAGACTGGGGACGTTTGAGCTCACCAGTGCAAATCTCTAAGGGGTGTTTTGAATCAAACCAGCCAGCATCCCCCCATCACCCTGCTGTCCATGTAATGTCTACACTTTCCAACCCCAGTGTCTGTTTTGATTTTATCCACAGGGCTTACCTGGGCCTCCTGGACCAAAGGTGAGACATCTCACCTCGCTGAGAGGTGTAGAAAGATGATGAACAGAGATGGAGTCTCCTGACGAGGACAGATGTGTACATTTTGATGGATGGAGGAGGGGTAGAAGAGGTTACATCAAAGAGCTGAGAGGGATTTCTAACCCAGCTGAGCTCTGCCTCTGGGGCCCAGCCCCTGTGCTGACTCATGGGTTTTGTCCAGGCCACACGTCTGAGTTGCATCTCCACTGAGCCAGGCACGCCTCATCAGCCCATCTTGCAAAATTGTTTGCCACACACAGCTTTACTGGCTTCTCCCATTCTCAAAGCATTTCCCAGTGCTTCAGGAATGGATTTTGCAATGCTATTGTTAACTCTGCCATGGTTTCCCATTTATTCACTTGCCAAAGTGCGAGGGAGGGCGTGGTTGTTGTTGTTTTTCAGCTGCAGCCACCCAACCTAATTTGTTTTTATCTGAGATATGTAGCCAGGGTGAGGCGATAGGAACCATGGAGTTGGGGCACAGAGCTGACACGTGTTAGCTGTCTGCCAGGGCTTTCCTGCCAGGCTCAGCCCAGTGCAGGTAATGCTGGCCTGGGGGTCTGAAGGGACAGGAGCTCACTGGAATCACTCGGAGCAAAAGGCAGATTTTCCCCATGGAATGCTCTCCCATCCCAGCAATACCCCAGGGAAAAGGACAGAGATTTGTCCCTCTCAGGCCAAGCTTCACTTTCTTTTGTCTTCTTGCCTTTTGCAGGGAGATGCTGGGATTCAGGGATACCCTGGCAGAAAGGTAAGGAGGGAAGCTCCAGTGTTGTTCCATGAATGAAGTGCACCGATGCTTTCTGGAGTCATGGCTGAAAATCTGTGGCCTGTGCTGGGGCCTCCTGTGGAGCTCTGCTCCTGCTGGGTTTGCAACAGGCCCACAAATTCCCTGCTGTCACCTGTGTAAAGAGAGCCTGGGCCCAGAGTTTTCTTTAACTCTCCAGCAGCTATGGAACAAATATCTCCCTCTGTGTGTGTGTGTGTGCCTCTCTACACCCACTTCCAGGCTGAAATGCATTTCTTATGCATCCAGACCCGTATGGGAGACTGAAAAGGGCCAAATCCCTGGCTGTTGCTCTCTGGGATACAGGAAAGGGTCAATCCTGCCCTGGGTTAAAAGGCAGAAACTGGCAATGCCCGAATGCCTTCAGCAGCAGCTGATTAACAGCAGGGCTGTCAAGCCCCGAGGGTGTAATGAAGAGACAGGAAGAGAGACAGGGGAAAGGCACAAAGGGAGATCAAACAGGAGAGAGGGAATGAAGAGATACTGCTAAAGAGATGTCAGCTGGAGAAGGGGAAGGTGAATGTTCCGAGCAGGAAGGAGTGCTGTGTCCCCTTTTATCTCCACGTTGCTTTATGGGTGCTCTGCAAGCAAAATGGCAAGACCTGAGAGCTTTTTAATTAGCTCTGTATAAACTGAGAGGTTTTTGTTATGTCAGGAAGTGGAAATTACAGCCCCTGCAGACCACAGCCCACTCCTGCAGACAGACAGAATTTATTGCCCCTTCTCCCAGCGACCTGTGGGGTTTTCCATGGGGAGCCTGTCCTGTCCCGTGTGCGCAGGGCGGGCGGCTCTGGCAGCAACCTCCCAGCCAGGGCCTCTTCCAGCAGCTCCTCTTGCATGAAACAACTCGTCTGGCTCATCCACTGTCCAGCCAGGAGCCCACCCTGACCCTGAAGGATGAGCCCAAGGCTTTCCCTGGGAAAGCTGGAAGGAATGGATGAATGTAAGGCACCAAATCCCACGGGAAGGGAAAAGAAGGCGAAACGTTGAGGAAAGTTGTTAACTCAGATGTAGGATATGGGACTGCTCCCTTCACTCCATGCAGTTCATACACTGAGTATCTTTCTTGGTGCAGAGTGGTGCTCCTCTCCCAGAGACCCAGGGCTAGGTTGGTGTGTGTGGGACATCCCTCTCACACCTCTGCTGGCCTTTCTGGCAACCCCAGCTCCTTTCCTTGCTGCTGTGTTTGCTTCTTCCACTGTTTTCTTTGTTCTCTTCCTCAGGGTGAGGTGGGCGAGTCAGGCCTGCCTGGTGCCCGTGGCCTCCCTGGAGCCTCTGGCCCCAAGGTAACCCTTAAACTCCAGTCAGAGGGGCACCCCTCAGGGGCAGATAACCTGGTACAAGCCTATCCTAAAGGGATATCAAAGGCCAGGGGCTGGAGACAGTTCTCTGGAGCCTGGAATGAACCACGTAGACAGGAACACTTGCTCCTGTGTGAAGAATCTGGGCAATTGTTGGCCAAGGTGATTCCATGCTGTCCTGAACCAGGACCTACATAGTCCCCCATTAAAGAGTAAAACCAACCCAGCCTTTAGAGGCTTTTGCACCAGGGCTGTGGAAATGAGGGTACTCTGGACCATGAAATGTTTCAATGGTTTCTACACCCTTATCATGTACAAGAGTGGTAGTATGGGCAACCTCCAGCATCCACTCCAAGGGCCTAAACTGCCTTTGCACTCCCTGGGAGGGGAGGGCTGCAGCCAGTGCTTGACTGGTGCCATGTTGCTGTGAGGAGACCCAGAGTGCTGGGGTTGCATTTATCATACCCCTCTTTTGGCTTCTTTGTCTCTTGCTGTTACTGCTTGCCTGGTTTCCCTTTATGTTCACTGTCCCTCTCTGTTTCCCCCCTTTCTCTCTCCTTTGCTGGGCAGGGTGAAAAAGGGGACGCTGGCATAAAGGTAGGCATGACAAATATGTTTTCGTAACTTACAGTGGATCACCTGGGAGATCCTGCTCCTTGGGCTGATGGATTGCAAGGGGAAGTTGGGTGCAAGGCAGCTCAGTGGGGTGTTTGATGGAGTACACATCTGTGCTCTGATGAACCACAGGCAGGCACTCCGAGCTCAGGCAGTAAACGCTGCCTTCATCCCTTCGGTGGAATTCCATTCTTACCAAAGGCATTTCTCTGACTATGAAGCTTGCTGGTGATTTGTTGCATCTCCCTATTTGATGGGCTAGGTTGGGGTTTCCTCATAAAATCTGGTTAGCTGACGCATCAAATCCGCTCAAACTCCGCCATTCAGGCTGAGGTTTGGCACCAGCTTTTCTGTCTGTTTCTGGACACTTTTTACAGGCTCATATGGTCTCTGCCCAGATGTTATCTATTTGACTGAAATTTACTGTACCCATATATTTAAAGTATATTACTCAATGTAGACTGTGCTTAAAACATTACAACATTGGCAAGTGTTCATGGCAGTCAGAGCACACTGTGTCATGCCATACATCTTAGACATCGTGAGGAAAGACTGGTCCTGTAATATTTGGAAAGGCATTAACTGTGACACGTACATTTCAAGTATTTAGTGTGTGGCATGCAGCTCATTTATCCTGCAGCACATACACTTTTTATATCTTTTCCATCTGGATGGATTGCTGTTTGAAGAGAGAAAAGGCCCCTTCAGAGCTTACCAAGGATGCATTACTTGGAGTTTAAAGAAATGTTCTTTGGGAATGCAGGCTCTGGGTACATAGCTGAATAGAGCAGCAGGGATTGTCTTCCTACAGGAAAACACCTCCTCAGAAATACTACAGTGAATGTATCTCCCTGTGTTCATCTCCCCATCAGTGTAATTCCCTCAAGCACAAAGGTATTGCTCCTCTTTGTGCCAGTGTGAATGAAGATGGAATTGCACCCAGAACTGATGTGTTCTGAGGGCTTGGAGTTTGCTGCTCTCTCAACAGCAGGTCTCCCATTAAACTGAGCTGAAGAATGAACTCTGAGTGTTGCCTGGGAAGGAGAAAAGGCTGAAAGGAGAAGCTGTGGTTTTTTTCATTGCTGAAAGTCCCATGTTTCACTGCTAGCGTTGGAACACCTGCTTTGCTCATGCCCATGTACAAGCACTAGCCAGCTCTTCATGTGGGTTCTGGCAAGGGGGAAGTCTCCAGTCATGTCTCAGGGTCATCCAGAGGGTGAGAGCCTTCCCTGGCTTGGGGCCACCCTGGAGACACAGTCCTGCTACTTGGCCCTTTATTTATGTCTTACACACCCCCCTTCAGGAAGAGCAGAGATGAAACCCACCACACTTTTTGGGATACAGCTCCAAATTGCAGCTCCAAAAGGGCACCTCCACAGCCCCAAAGCAGCAGTTTCTCTCACACACAGACTATCATTTGTTACTGTCAAGGTCACTTTTCTCTTGACTTCCTTTCTTTTTGCTCAGAGGAGTTGAAGGGAAGTGCAGACACATTCTTAAATCAGCAGCCAGACCTCACTCAGTAGCAGCTCCTGAGCATCCAACAGCACGTGCATTTGTTGTCTTTGGAAATTGCTTCTTTCTGTTGTCCTCCCACCTAGGAGGATTGATTGGGACTCTGGAAGACTTTAAATTCTTCCAATTTGGATCCAATTACCTGGACTCCATTTTACCTTCTCTTTGCCTTGAGGAGCCCTAGACAAACACTATGATTCATAGCTGCAGTGGTCAATTCTGCATTCACTATCACTCCTTTACCTGGCAGTGAAGAATATCTCTGGCCTGGAGAAATTTCCTAGTATCACACAGACCCCTTGTTCATTTAACCACCTCTCCCCACCCAGTGGCAGGTGCAGCACAACCTAGATTGTCTCTCAGCTGTTTTTTCAGTGGCCACCATTTGTACTTTGATCATGTGAGGACCTACATCTGTGTCTCATGAAGGCATTTAAGCAGTGATTGTGATCACCTGGGCCACTTGAATGAGCATTTGACTTTGTGCCCCTAGCCTGTCACATTCAGCTTCACCGATGTTTTCTTACTGAAAGATCCATAGCATAAGGCTTTTTCTCATGCTGAGGAAGGAGCCACAATGTGCCCCTAGCCTTTCTTAATAAACCCCTGACAATTTGCTTGTCACAGCAAAGAGCAAAAAGGAAGGGTGTCTGCTTTAATTGGCAGCAGATGAGCTGATCAGCGTGAGGCATCATTGGCACCCAGAGGGGATAAAGCTGCTCACAGCAGGTAGAGTGTGAGGTTTCTGTGTGAAGGGGAGGGGTGTAGCCTGACTCCAGAGAGACACGGGGGAGATGCTTGCTAAACCATCATGAGGCTCAGGAGAGCTGGGAGATGCTACTGGTTGCCTTCCTGAAGCCCCCTGGGGAATTGTGCTGGATGTTTTGCCTTTGGTACCCAGCTCCTGACTTGGCTGTGCCGTTCCAGTGCTGCTTTTGGTGGGAGGCTGCTGCTGCCTGGCACCCAGGGCACGGGGATCACAGAGGGAGCAGCCCAGCGGGTCCTCGCTGTGCTGCAACGGCTTTCAAGCACTTAAGGGCTTAAAGATGTTCTGCGGAGTTGTTTTCCCTGCTGTTTGTCCGGCGCTGGGTTTCTTTCTGTTCTGCAGTGGCGCAGTGTCACGTTTGTCGCTGCCCTCTCTAATTAACCCTGTGTGATCCCACCGGTGCCGGGGCTGTGCCAGCATCATCAGGCTGCTGGCTCTGAGCTGCCCCTCTGGGGGTTGCCGTGCTCCCTCTCACCGAGGGGGCTTTGCTTGTGCAGGGTGAAATAATTAAACAGCTCTTCAGGCAGGCAGTTCTTCCAGGAAAGTCTCTGGGAAGGGGGATTTCTGTCCCAGGCTGGGCTGCCCTATGGGGATGGTCTGTGCAAGCAGGGTGGGTGTCTCTCAGCAGAAAGCATCGGCCTTCCCTGCTGGGTCTCACTTAAAAAAAGATAGGGAGCATAGTTGGGAAGGAGGGAGACCAATCCACGTTCTCCAGTACAAAGTATTCCTAATTATTGCTTTACTTTTCTTACTGCTGAAAATAGGGCAGTTAAGTAGGCTGTGTAGGGCAGGAGGTGCCTGCACTAGGTCAGGTGTGTTATGGTATTAGAAGGTGTTTTACAAAATACAGTTCACCGGATGCTGCAATTTCAAAAAGTTTTTTTTAAAAAAAAGCATATATATCCCTACTAAATAACCTTCCAAGCAAGGACTGAACACCCACAACAAAATGACAGCACAGCATGCAGATTGCCTGAAGATGTTTTATTTTCTGGTTATCAGCAGACAAAATTCAGGCTAGCAGCACGAGACAACCCTTGGATTCTCTGTCTCTCCCAGTAGGTTTGTTCACCCCAGAGTCCCTGCAGGCCCTGTGCCCTGCAGCAGGCTGGGATGTGGTAGCAGGGTGTGGAGGCTGTGGCACTGCAGCGGGGTCAGTCCTGCTGTAAGGCTTGAGAGGGTGGGGAAGACACTGCCTCACCTGGCTCAGGAGGGTTTCTCATCTCCTGTGCCCTGGACTCTCCCACGGAGCCCTGGGAGGACTCATCTCCTGTCTCTTGCTGTCTTTCTCTGTGTGTCTTGCTCTGCTTCCAGGGGGAGAGAGGCATGCCAGGGCTGCCAGGAAGACATGGCTCTAAGGTACCTTGTGAGCAGAGGAGTGATGCTTGTCTGCCTGACCTCACCCTAGCATTCGACTGCCCCTGATGCACAGGCAGCTCTGTGTGTGTCTGAGCCAATGACTGTCCTCAGCTGGATTATTCATGCTTCTAAATTGCAAATTGCAGGGCCTAATTTATAAAGGCAGTGGTGGGGAAAGACGTGTTTTACAGAGCAAATGGCATGCCCAGTCTGATGCTGACTTGCAACATCAGGATCTTAATGCTTTACACCAGTGAGAGCAGCCAGTTGCTGATGTTTGTAGGGAATTGGCATTTTGTAAATTGTCCCAGGTGACCACTGCAGGTGTGTGTTAGCCCAGCTGGGGTGGGCAGGGCTGCCCAAGTGGGGGCCTGGGCTAACACAGCCATGAATCAGGGTCAGTGCGTGAGCAGCCCTGCATGTCTGTGGATTGCAGTTTAAGCGTAAATAGTAGAAAATAACATGGTCTGCATTCACTGCTGTTTGAAGGCTGAAAAAATGAGGAACGGGCATCCCAAGGCTCTGCAAAGGCCTAACTAAAGCCACTTACTGCACGTTATCCCTTTCATGACTCCAGCCCATATTGCCTAAAACCTACTGACCCTGAGACAATCTGGAATGCTTTTTACCCCCATTTATTGCATAGAATCCCTGATCTCCATCTTCTGTCCTTGTGTTTTTTAGCTTTGTCCCCGATTTCTGTTTCAGAAAGCTGAGAGGTATGATCCTGCTGCTCTCTGGCTCCCCACTTCTCCTTGTTTGAACTTTTCCAAGCTTTTTTTCACTTTGAACTTGGCTCCCAGTCCTCTGCACTGCCTCATGTGCTACATCCCAACCCCTCATATTTCCCAGCTTCTAACACCACTCCCTCCCTTCTCCTTAGTTATCCTTCATATTTGCCTTTTTAACTGGACCTTTTCTAACCAGGACCTAATGAACGCTAACACAGGGGACACAGAGATTTCAGAGAGGATGGTTGACAGGGACAACCTGCTTTTTGCATCAGTGCTGTTGAGGGAAATGTGACGGTCCCTATGGGAGCAGCTGCCTCCTGAGGCTCCGAGGCACCTGTCTGGAATGGCAGGACAGCCAGCCTGCACTCCACAGTCCCGTGGGGGTGGCTTGCTCTGCACTGCAGAATGACACCTGGATTGCAGTGCTTGGCAGGCTGGTTTTTCCCCTAAGGTGTCTGGCTTCAGAGCTCTCCTGGAAGCATTTTACTGCAGGGTTTGTCTTCTGTGACAAGAACAGGTTGAGGGGGAGTAGCAAGGCCAAGGCTCTAGGGTATGAGCCAGCCTTTCTCAGGGTGCTTGAGCTGAGGTACCTGGGCTCAAGCCTTGAAGTGGGGGTTTGGTTCTTGGTCTGTCCTTGCATTCCTCAGTTACTTGACACTGTTCTGCTTGTTGGCCTTTGCTTCACTTGCAGGACTAAAACCAGGGTGGGGGTGGGAATCCGTTTGCCTTGACTGGGTTGTGCTCACGGTGCCTGCCTTTGGAAGAGCTTTCTGGAGCCCAGAGCCACTGCCATAGGTGAACAGCTGCTCAGGGAACGGGCACGTGTGCTGTGTGGTGTCACAGCATTACTGTGGAGCTGTGGAAAGGAGAAGATGTGGATTTGGGCATTTTTAGTTTCGCCTGACTGATAGGGTTTCGTTTTTAAAAATCTGTGTCGGATGAATTTCAAGCAAGGTGTATCTGTCTCTGCTCTCTCTGCCAGGGCGCTCCCGGGACGGCTGCTGCAGGGATGAAGGTCAGTTTTGGGCTGCAGTGCCTCGAGTGGGCACGGGCTGGAGCTGGGAGAGCGCAAGGCGCTGGAAAATGGTCGGACAGCTCCCACTGATGGGGAATATCGGAACTGCCTGCCTTTGGCAGAGGTACCAGACCTGTCTGCAGCGGGTCTGGTGAGCTCGTATGGCACAGCCTTCCTCTTCTGTGAAAACAGAGCAGGGAGTGCCAAATTCCTCTGTGCCAGCACATGAGTCTTGTCTTGCTCTGCTCTTTTGTACCTGGCAAACATCTGCAAGTACTGCAAGGTGGTTACTCTGTCCCATGGAAGCCATGAGTCTGAGGTTGGGTGGTTTCTTACAGCAGCCTGGGAGCTGTCACTCCTCTGGCTAATGAAGATAAAAGAAGTTCCAGGCACAAAAATTTGCAACTGAAGCACTCTCGTGCCCTTACTTACCAGTTCAAAGCCTCTATAGATGAATATTCTGATAGCTCTAGGGGGATTTTTACTCTCTCCTCCTGGTTTGTCACTCTATTTTCCTGTCTCTTTCTCACCAGGGCGAGCCTGGGACTCCAGGAGAAAAGGTACTCTCAGAAGGTTTTGCTCTGAGCCTGCACTTCTGGTTGGTTTGTGTAATTTTCCCCTCCCTGAGCAGCTGAGGGAGCTGAGGAATGTCTGTGTCCTTCCCAGTGCCCAAATCCAGGCCCTAATGGCACCTGCCACTCTCAGCAAGTTGGTAGTAGGATACAGTGATACCAAGTGAGAGAGGGACCATACTGCAAATATTTCCATCCTGCTGCTCGTGTCTGTGTCCGTGGGAATCCCTTCCAGCTGCCAACTCCACAAGAGACACAGGGCACACTTTGCTTAGGAAGCAGGTTCCCTCTGCCCCTTCCTTTGTCCCCTTTCTGCCTCCCAGCATTTCTGTGCCCCAAATTCTTCCCGTGTCCCTGCAGAGGGCTGTCCCTGTGTCAGTGTAGCACTGCCCCATCCCTCTCCATCCCGGAGCAGCTGCCTCCTCTTGTTTGGGGCTGGCTGGCTTATGTTACAGCATGTGACAGCCACGTAACACACACGTTCTCTGTCTCTTTTCTTCCCCACCAAGGGAGATTCTGGAGTGCCAGGGAGGATGGGCCCCCCAGGTTTGCCAGGGAAGAGGGGGCAGCGGGTAGGACACTGCGTGTTTGGGCTGGGTGTCCTGGCAGCAGAACTGCTGTGTGCTGCATTGTGCTGCTTGCAGGGGATTATGTGTCCTGTGCTGGCTCTGGCCCCTTGGTGAAGTGTGTTTGTGTGTTCCTGCTTGCAGGAGGTGGGGGCTGGAGGCAGGCAGGGCAGCATGAGATGCCTGGGATGTAGTCTTGTCCCGGGAACGATTGAGGACAGTGCCACTTCTCTTGACTCCAGAAATAACACCCTAAACAGGGATTCAGTAATCTGACCTCCTTCCTCCAGAAATCCACTGCTTTGCACCCTAGTTCTGGCAGCGCAGGATGTTTTCAGTAGTTCTTATGGACACGTGTATTCAAAACAGTCCTTGAATGAAAAGTGGGATACCAAGGCAGAATCAGGGATTCACAGAACCCTGGGACAGCATTAAGAATTATATTTTTACAAAAACCTTCAATGCCAAACCTGTTCCTTGCATATGAGGTCTTGAAAATGTTTTCCCCCTTTCCAGGGAGGGAAGCATTAATTTAGCATTGTGCATGCTCTGGCAGGGAAGGAAACCTGGGGAAGTGGGGGGGCTTGCAGGTGGCTGGAAGCCAAATTACCTTGGAGAAAGGGGTCACTGCACTCTAGAATTGCCTGACAAAAATATTGCTCCTAGTAGATTATTTTCCAGGGAGCCACCAGTGCATGTCTGTTCCTGGAGCATTGATGCAAGTCCCCTGCATGTGAGATGAGTGCCCTTGAGCTCTGATGAGCAGCACCAGCCTCTGCAGGCCAGCAGCATGGCTCCAGGAGAGAGCTGGGCACCTGGGGGGGGAAACAGGGTTTGAGTTATTCTGTATAATCTGTGCAAGTGACTGAGTCTTGGAGCTGTGGGGATAGTGGCTGAGAACACACCTTTCCCTGGTGATGCATTTGAAACATCTCTTCAGGGTAACAGAACCTCCAACGTCTCTGTCTGTCCTGGCAAAATGCAGACTCCCAGACAGGACACTGTGCCTGGAAAACATGGGTTTAGCAGCTGCGTGGAATGGTCTGAAGAGAACTTCAACATAAAGACCAGTAATTGAGCTCCAATATTGAAAATATGGCCCAGGTGCCATGGTGAACTGAGCAAAGCCACTTCACCAAGGGAGTGCTGGATGCTCTCCGTTGCTCACTGCCCGTGGCATCCTCCATGGTGCCTCACACAGCTCAGCCTGCAGCTCTGCAGGCATCACCTTGCACCATCAGCTGCTGGCTTTGCCATTTTTGCCACTGCTGCCTTCACTGCTTATGACCAGTGCGTGTCCCAGAGCTTGGCTGCCAGCTGTGATGCTGCACTGCTTGGGTTTATTTGAGAGCATGATGAGCCTGGGATTTGGAGCTAGGGAAGAGAAGCAGGACATGGAGAAAGTCCTGCACTCCAATTGAAATTCACCCTGGGCAGCAGCCTCTGTGGGCATATGGATCAGGGAATTCTGTGCAGAAGAAGTGACAGGGAAAAGTGTTTAGCAGGCCAGAGGGATAAGGAAGATGCACAGGGATCTGGATCCCTTTCTTGTTCACCTTCCTTTGGAGAGAAATGGCAGTGATGTGCAGGGATAGTTAAAAGGGTGGGCAAAAGCATGTAATGTCTTGAGCTGGTACTGCTCAAGGTCTGTGGCCAAAATAAAATCCCTTGGGAGGGAAAGAAGGTGTGAAACCAGGAGCAGATCACTCTTTTACTGCTCCTCCAGGATGGAGAGCCTGCAGAGTCAGCCTTGACCATGTCTGTTTTGCCAACAGGGTGAGAAGGGACGAGCTGGTGACCCTGGAATTCCTGGACTTCCTGGCCCAAAGGTTTGTGTCTTTCCTGATTTTTTTTTTTCTCCGTGGGGCTGCTCTCACCCCTTTTCCTCCCTCCCTCCTGTGCCCAGCTCACACATTCTTAGCTGACTGTGGCAGCATGCTCTGCACTGCTCAGCTGAATGTCATCTGCAGTCAGGGATGTGAGGGAGGCACACAAAAAATGCTTTTTGTAGGAATGTGGTGAGGGAGAGGTTGTGGTCCTGAGAGCAGGACCACGGAATTGTGTTCCAGTATTTCCCCTTTAAAAGCATGACCCCAGATGTAACGTGGCATTTCAGCCTCCCTCCTGCTCCAGGATCCATGGATGATGAGGAGCTGAGCTTTTGGGGAGCTGCACTGCTGTGCTCTGAGCTGGAGGAGTAGCTTTGTGCTCAGAGAGACCCAGGGCAGGTCTAAAGCTAAGCCCTGAAACTGGCTTTTCCCCTGTGCTCTGAGATTTTCAGCTAGAAATCACACCTTTCAAATCAGACTGGCACAGGGTGCTTTTTCTTTGGGAAAGGGGACACTGCAGTGAATGCCAGTGGCCATTTCAGGAAGGGCTGAGGGTGTAGTGGCATAGCTTTCCTGTTACTGCCTTACTGTCTGCTCTGTGCAAAGGACATGGTGTTCAGGGCTGAGTGGCTGCTGACTGCAGCTCCAGAGGGAGGCATTCCAAAAGAAGCCATCATTAGGTGGTTTGGTCAGCTCAGTTTCATCAGCAGAAGAACACAGTGTTCAAAGGGAGGCTGGGGATGAGCCCTGTGCTGCCTGGTGCAGCCAAAGGGGTGAGTGTGGCTGTGGCTGCTGGCAGGGCTCCACAGGGACCCTCAGGCAGGATGAGCTGTCCTGGTTCCTGGCCAGCTGCTGCCTCTGGAGCAGTGCTCTCTGATGGATCTTGTCTTGGCTGTGTCTCTCTGAGCCACTATTTTGGCAAGTGAACTTGCAGAGGTGCAGTCTGAACTGAGACACATGGCTTGTTCTTCTTTGCAAACAGGGAGAGAAGGGAATTGCTGAGAATGCCTTGGTGGGAGCTAAAGGAGAACCTGGCCCTCCAGGTCTGCCTGGACCCCCTGGACCAAAGGTGAGTGATTTTTCTTTCACAGAGTTGTGTGTTTGAGGGACTGCACTCAGCACAAGGTGTGTAGGAAGGAGCAAAGGTTGTATTCATCAGTGCCCATCTCTGATCACTGCTGGAGGGATATCAGGTTCTGCAGAGTGTTCTAGTACTGTTGTTCTATATGCTGCAGTTTGTGAACTGTTTTTGGAAGGAAAATACCCTTATTGTGCTCAAATAATTCCCCTGTAAGCTCTGTGAGAAACCTGTCTGAACACTCCCTCTGCACTGGGTGGAACAGCAGGGTGCCTGGTGGGCAGTGGTGGCAGGAGATTTGGGCTACCTGAGGAGAATGTTTGGGTGCTTGGCTGGTGCAGTTCTGCAGTTCTTCCTCCTGGAAATGCAAAGGCAGCAGTGAAGTTGCACCCTCTCAACACGACACAAACCCATGCCTCTCTCTCTCTCTCCCTGGCAGGGAGAAGCTGGTGATGTTGGTCAGCCTGGTGCTGCAGGATCACAGGGAGAAAAGGTATGGAGTGCTTTTGCACAGCCCAGCTCTGGGTTCTGAGCTTCACACTTGTTCCTGTGTGTACAAAACTTAGCTGAGAAGGAGAATTTTAAATCCACCTGTCTAGCCCAGACTGTTTCAGAGAACCAGCAGAGTGAGATCCTGGAGTTCAAGAAAGTGAAGGGACAGGCTTTGCTGAAACTGTGCTCTTGCTGTTTCAGGGGGAACGTGGTTCACCAGGAGACCAGGGACCCATGGGCCCAAGGGTAGGTGTTCCTTCACTGACATTGTGGCCCTTCAGAGGGGTCTGAGGATAGTGGGACCACACTGACAGTCCAGATTGGGTCTTGCTGTCACTAAGAGTACTCATGGATGGGCAGTGGCTAAGTTTGAGCTGGGCTGTTTCTCTATACCCTCACCCCTACATTAAGGAAAACTCCCAGGCCATCTCAGGGTGGCTCATTCATAGCAGGAGGTGGGTTTGGACATCCCCATCTGGGCTCAGGCCCTTGACCTACCATAAAAAGGGCAGCAAGAGGGTGGATGCATGCACACATCTAACAATTGGTCAAACAATCCAGTTCCTGGATCCTGGCCTCAACTTCACCTCTTCCCAGACTGCCAGCTCTGATGGCTGTGACATGGTGATCTGAGCTGGGCTGGCTACAATTCTGTAGGATCTCCTGCACTGCAGGGGCTCTCTTTAATAAACTAAGAACTGGACACTGGTGAAATGGGCCCCTCTGAGCCCCCTTTTTCAGAGTGAACCCCAGCTCTGAGCCCCCCAAGAGAAGGGCAGTCCCAGCCCCTGGCTGAAGAGCTGGTGTTTTGCAGGGCCCCAAAGGAGAGCCTGGGAAGGATGAAATGATGGACTATGATGGGAACATCAGTGAAGCTCTCCAGGTGAGCAGCTGCCCTCCTGTCCTGTGAGGTGACTGCTGGGTGCTCGACCATTTCCCACGGGATGCAGACAGGGAGCAGTGCAGCTCTGCCTCCTTGGCAGAAGCAGCAAAGGGAAGCTTTGGTTGTGCCACAGTCCCCTTCATCCCACAGCTCACTGCCTGCAGTGTTTTGGTGAATGCCTGTGCACTGACTCTGGTGGACATAGAGGTGACATGAATGCCTGTGGGAGTGGCCCAGAGGTGAATAAAGTCACCAATGCTTCCTCACAAGGAATGAGAGGATGGGGTGCAGTGGGTGAGTGGCTGTGCCCAGCTCTGGGCTGGCCTGGGCTCTACTGGGAATAACAGCTCCACTGTAGAATAACAGCTCTGTGGGACTTGGAGTGAGTTTTTAGTCTGGGTTTATTTTGGGGTTTTTCCCCCCTCTTCTTAATTTTGTAAGCTCCTTACTCATTTGGGCCAGTGTTACATTAGTGGAGAGCAAGACAACTCCAGGAAAAAGCTTAATTTTCCAATGGTTGTTTTCTTTTTTAATTGTTTTCACCTTTTTTTCCCTAGGAAATACGAACTTTGGCCTTGATGGTGAGTTGCTGTCCATGCTGTGGGGTTTTACACAAGTAGCCATATGTCCATCCTAAGCAGATGGCCTGACAATTTAGGTGCAGCTAAAACACTTGGCCTTTGCAATTGGGAGCTAAAGCTGGGGCAGCTGACAGCTGAAAGAAGAGCTCATCTTGCCTTCTGATCTTGGCACTTGAATTCTTATCAGGCTTTCATCTCTGCTTTACGAGGTCATACATGCTGCTCAGAACAGGCAGTGCTCAGAAGGAGCAGGGAAGAGCAGCTCTCAGGGCTCTCCACTGCTCATCCTCCCAGCAAAATATGATTTTAGGAATCCCTTGGAATATGCCTCTGTGATTGCCCCTTAAACTTAGGGGAGGTATTTGGTTTCAAACCACAGAGATACAAATATGAAATTTGTTTTTTCTTTATCTAGGGACCCCCAGGACGTCCAGGTGTGGCTGGACCCCCAGGGCCACCAGGACAGAAGGTATTGTCCCAGTTCAGCACTTGCAGACCTCAGGGAAACACAAGAGTGGCCCAGGCAGAATTCCCACCCCCAGATCTCCCCAGTGCTCCTATATTTCCTGTCCAGCACTATCAGACTGTCCTGCTGTCCTCTGCCACTCCTCCTCACACACAAAAATCTCCTTAAAATCTCTTTTCCCACAATGATAATGCCTAATCTGAAAGATGAAGGATCCTTTCTGCTTGCCCTCCCCTTCAGGAAGCAGCTTGTGGGAACCAAACTGTGGGATGGTGTTGGCTGGGGACTGCATGACTGCACTGGGAGCTGGCAGTCAGGATCAACGAGATTGGGAAAATGCTCAGGCAGTCACATAATGTAATGTTTCAACAGGGGTTTCCATGGGGATTTTTTTGGGGGGGGGGGTTTTTTTTTTTTTTTTTTTTTTTTTTTTTAATTCTATGACTGCAGAAAAACCCAGGGGTTTCCATGCTTTATTTTTGGTGAGTATGGGGAAAAAAATGGATGTTTCATGGTTTTTTTCCTCTGAGTAGTCCGTGCAGGCTATTTCTGCATTGCCTGCCCTTTTTCATCACAGTGCCTCACAGAAGGAGTCAGAATAGCTGCTTCCAAAGTGCCAAAGTAACAATTCTGTGTTTCAGGGTGAAATTGGCTTGCCAGGTCCTCCAGGCCACGACGGAGAAAAGGTAAGGAATGATGCTCTTCCCTTCAGAGGCCTTACCTGGGGTCATCTCTGTCAGACATCACACTGTTGCTGTTCCCACGAGGAAAAAAACTCTTTTGCTTCACGGAAAGGAGCATTAATGGTTTGTCAGTGTCCTGCATTTGTCATGGCCATGCTGCTGTGTCCTGTGTCCAAAGGGCATAGCCGGGAGGGACAGGATGAGCAGAACAAGAGGCTCTGAGCCAGGCAGGAACAGCCTTGCTCCATCCCTAGGTGTTTCCCTTTATCTTGTGTGAATTTCATTCAGGGACCACGTGGCAAGCCTGGAGAAGTGGGGCCCCCTGGGCCTCAGGGACTGCCAGGAAAGGATGGACCTGCTGGGATGAAGGGAGAGCCAGGCCACGTCGGGGTCAGAGGAGAGAAGGGTGACAAGGGGGAGCCAGGACAAGCAGGCTCACCGGTGAGTCTGTCATAGCCTCTGCAGCTCCTGCTGGCTGCCCAGCTCATGGGGCAGGGCCCCAGGGCTCCCTGGGAGCCTCAGAGCCCCTGCAGGGTGGCTGCTGCTGTGTGAAGTGTCACAGTGTGGGGGACCCTGCCTTCCTGGCACGTGTGTTGTCCTCTTGCTGGAGTGGCTGTCCCCAGGTGCCTGCCCTGCTCTCTGGGCACCGTGTCCCTTGCTCAGCTTGCTGCTTGTGTCTTGCTGGCCCTGAAATGCTGCTGGAAGTGAGCAGGTGTGGCTGTGAGCCAGGAGGTTGGGGCACCAGCACACCCCCTCCTGGGAGGGCAACCCCTCACAGTGCCAGCCTCCCAGCTTCAGTCTGTCACAGCTCCTGTGTGCCCAACGCTGCTCAGGGGGGTTTGTGCAGCGACCTCCTGCCTCTCCATGGGATTGCCAGGATGAAACTCCAGCTGTCTCAACAGCTGGCTGTGGGGAGTGATTGCCAGCACAGATACAGCAAACTGCATAACCCTGAGCAGAACTTGGAGGCAGGAAAGCAGCACCCCATCCCCACTCTGGGGACTGCTACATCCACAGTGACAGGAGGATGTTCAGCCATTTGCCCCTCTGCTTTCAGTGCTAGTGAAGCCCTGCATTTCCCTGGATACCCAGTGCGTGTCCACGGTTTTCAGAGTACTCTTGGGATGATCAGAGCCACTCTTGGCTCTTACACTGATATATGTCTGCCTGACTTAGCTGAGCAAAACTCCACGAATCTTTCTTGATCTATAGGGTCTAGATGGCCCCACTGGAGAGAAAGGCGAACAAGGTGACCAAGGGATACCAGGACCACCAGGATTGCCAGGGCCCATTGGACTTCCAGGACTGACAGTAAGAATGGAAAAGAAAAGGCTGCTGTTTCCTGCTTGGTGAAGAGAAAATAGCACAGAGCAGCACATGAGGGCTTGTTTCCCAAAGTGCTGAGTGTCCTGGGAGCCTCAGAGCCCTACCCCTCTGCTGGGTGTCACAGCATGTCCCTGAGACCTCCAGGAATGTGAAACACGTGGTCTGTTCCCATTTCTCCTGGGGGAGCTGCTGCCTGCCAGCACATGGGTGGTGCACAGGAGTGCGCTCACTTCTCCTGAGTCTTCTCCAGGCAGCTTCAGTGGAGGGAGGCTTCTGGGCACAGCAGGTGGTGATGGGCTCTGCTGTGGTGTGCAGGGAGAGAAGGGGGAGCTGGGGAGCATGGAGACAAAGGGAATCCAGGAGAGTCCGTGGGTCACTGCTCCATGTTCCTGTGGGATCTCAGCAGTAGGGGAGGGATGATCTGGCAGCAGTGCTGCTGGAAACTGTCACCCCCCTCTGGTGACACCTTGGCTGAGGACAGCAAGCCTCTGCTGTGGGGCTGCACCAGCCACCTCTGGCTCCTGATGCCCTCCTTTCCCTGACACAAGAATAATCTGTCTCACAACCACCAATCAATAAGCAATGCCTAGGGAAGAACAGATCTTGGAAAGCATAACAAATTCTTTCCTCAGCATTTGCAGTAAATTATTTCCTGGCAATTATTTCCATGTGTATATATACACATGTTTTTTTTTTTTCCCAAAAAGATTTCGGTGTTCGTGAATTTGCTTGTTCTTCCCTCAAAGCTCACCCCTAGCTTTGGAGTCTAGTAGGGCAGAGTCCTGCAGCAAGAAGTCCCACAGGCTATTGACACATGGTAGAGACAGACACCTTCTTTAATATCTTTTACTCTTTGACCCTATGCCTCCTTGTAGGAATGGTGGTAGAGAAGTGGACCTTTCTTTGGAGAAAACCTCACTGCTTTCCTTCCTCTTAAAGATTGGCAACTTCTGCATAACCCTCCCCTGAGTCCTGCTGCTGCTTCCCAGCCACTCAGTCCTGGACTGCTGCTGCTTCCTGATGCAGTGCTTAGGTGGAGTCCAGGTTTCCCAGCCTGGTGGAGGAGCTCTGCTGCACCCTATGTCCTGTCCTTCTCTGAGCAGCCCCACTTTGCCCCTGAGGGCAGCACATTGATGGTAGTTTCTCTTGCATTGCTTTCCAGATATCTGGGCCCCCTGGACCCCAAGGGCCTCCAGGACCTCCAGTAAGTTTGAGTCATTCACCTGAGGAGCCAGGGAGTGGGATTAGAGCAGGCAGTGGCTGGGGAGGATTCTGTGTGGAGAAGACAGAACCACTGCAGTGCTGAAATGGGAACATGCTCAGTATCACTTCCAAACCCACGCCCAGGGTAGGGCAGAGCTGCAGTGGGCTGGGAGGGCAAAGAGAGAAAGTTTGGTTAGTTGGAGATGAAAGGGAAGACAGTAGTGAGATGGGATGGATGGGATTAAAGGGATCAACTGCAGAAATTGTCTTAACAGCACACCTGGCCTCCTGCCAGGGTGTGCTTGGCAAGAGGCTCCTGGCTGGGGATGAGAACAGTACATGAAGTGCCCGTTGCACAAATAACAAAATAAAAATAAATAAATAAAAAAGGGTGTGCTTGGCAAGAGGCTCCTGGCTGGGGATGAGAACAGTACATGAAGTGCCCGTTGCACAAATAAAGAGGCTTTTGGGCTGAGGGTTCCTGCCCCACAGAGCAAAACCTTTGTACTGCATGCTTCACTGGGAAACCTGGAGTTTAATGCCCATCCTGAAACATTATTTACATCTTGTCTCTCATCCCAAACACAGGGTCTTCAGGGTGTTCCAGGACCCAAGGTAAGGCCATATAAAGTATTGCATACTGAAATGTAACAAAAATTGTCCCTTTAGTAACATCTTTGTAGTTCAGGTGGTACTTTTCTTCCTTCTTGGTAAGAGGATGAATCCTTCTGGATATTTTCTTGAAGGAAATGGATTAGCAGCTCTCATTTTAGCACCGAGAAAAATGTCATTCCCTCCAGTTTTCACCCAGAGAAGTGGGAATTCACTGGTCTGTGGAATTCTGCCCATGAGAACACAGTTGAAATCCTTGTCTGGAGGGTGGAGGTCTGTACAGTGGGATGAATAGTCTGCCACACAGTCCTAAGGAACTGAGCTCTAGCGAAAAATTAGTCCTAAAATTAAAATTACCCTGTACATTCTGCTGTAAAGAAGTTCACTGTCCTTGGTGGTGCAAATCTTTCTAATCTCCATCTAAGTGCTCAGCCTGCACCATTGGCTTGCCCGCTGTAAAACTGTTTCCTACACAAAAAATAGGGGAGTGGAAATGTCCAAGGAGAGCTGTGTATTTCTGGTGAGGTTCTGGGCAAAGATTGGAAAAAGTGCAGTCTTAATTTTAATTATTCTTAATATTTGGCCATTAGCATTGTTTGGGCACTAAAAGGAATGGATATGTTTCAAAAAGCCTTGTAAACAGCAGTGAGGAGGAAAAAAGTTTTGGGTTACATTTTGAATTTAAGAAAAAGGAGTATTTTTAAAATATTGCTTTATAGTTTATAATAGAGAGTTTTAAATATACAGCTGGGAAAAGAATGCTGAAATGTTGAAACTGATGCCTCAGCATTTACAAAAGGCTCTCCAAACATTATTTCTGTGTGATTTTTCTTCAAGGCTTGTAGACACCTGTCATTCACTTCCAGTGCATCCACATCTTAAAATGTAAACCCACCGTATCAGATAACTCCTGGTTATTTATATTTATATATAAATATTTATACAGCAACAACAGCAGGGAGAGCAGCGCCAGAGTGAGCTCAGCTCTCCTCTGAGCATCTTCACCCACAGGGCCTGAGTCTCCTCCTTTTGCCACTGATTTGAAGCAGGTTTTCACACAGGGGTAATTTGATTGACAGTGGTTTTCTTCAGGTTAGGCTGAGAATTGATCTGAAGCATTACTCTGCTGCCTCTTGTATTCCCTCTGCTATCCAGTGCTCTCTGAGGGGAGGAATGTTTGTTATATAAGTGCTGTTATGGTGGGTTTATTTTCTGCTCCATCCTTCCTTTAGGGGGAAGCAGGGATTGATGGAGTGAAAGGAGAGAAGGGTGCCCAGGGTGAAAAAGGAGACAGAGGGCCACTGGGATTACCCGTAAGTATCCAGGAAGCAAGCAGCACTTTGTGAGCCAAACTTAATATCAGCTGTAAAAGGATCCCTCAATAGGAGACACACGTGGGGATTTGGTATGTGAAGTCAGAGAAAGAGATGGACTATAAATAACTGTGCCTTTGCTTTTTAAACCCAAAGCCTCAATTCTGTACTGAGCCTTCAGCTTCTAGATCTGTTGAATAGGTGAGCGATCACTGTATTTCCTCCTGCTTCTGGCAGGACTGGAAAAATCCAGCAGTAGCTTTCCTGGAAGTTCTCTGCACTTCAGGCAAGATGAGAAACACAAGTCAGAGATGTGGAAAGAGAAACGCCTTCCCCAGCCGTTTGTCTCCTGGGCTAAGCTTTGTACAAAGCATGGTGATTCTTAGTGCAACCAGCTCCTTTGACAGCTGAAACATTCCTGTCCCTTCTGCCATGGAATCAGTGCTCCCCTGGCCCAGCATGTCCCTGCAGTGTGTGAACTCAGTCCCAGTAGCCTGGTGTTAGAGGCATTGGGGCACAGTGTATTATAGAGGGCTTGCAGGAGCTTTAGATACAAACCTGATGATGAGTTGGTGGTACCTTAGTCCCACCCAGTTGTTCCACCAGCCCCCAGGTTCTCTCATCATAAAAAGCACTAGTGGCACAGTAGATCTTCCCCCTTGCCCAAATATTCTGCCTGGAACAAACACTGCAGAGTGCATCTCATGTGCTGTGTGGCTTGTTGTCCTGTGTTTGACCACCCGGATCTCTTGTCCCTGACTTTGCGTGTCTTTGTTTGTAAAATGTTTTCCTCCTTCAGTTGTGCTGAGCAGTGGTTCCCTTCCAGAGCTTGAATGAATCTCCTCTAGCTCCAGGCACTCAAATGAGCCCAGCATTACATTCCCGGGGCTCCAGGCAGAGCAGTGGGGAGAAAGGGCTGCTTTTGGAAGGCTCAAAGGCCAGGGATTGTGCCTCAGTGAAGCAGTGAGGAGTCAGTCCCCTGAGAAATGCAATTGCAAGTTTTCTGTGTAAAAGGTTATTCCCTCAAGCCTGTGGGGTATCCAGACAGGGAAAGGAGGTCCTTGTGACAGCCCAAGCAGAAGGTGCCCCAGCAATTGTCCCAACAACACATCTTTGTGGCAGGGAATGTGCCAGCTGCTTCTACAGCAGTGAGCCCCATGGGGGTCCAAAGGTCCCTTGGCTTTTCCCATCACTCCTCCTGAGCCGTGGAGGTGGGAGACTGGCTCAGAAGGGTCCTCTTAGGAATGTTTTGTTTGGATCAGCAATACTGGCTGGCCAAGCAGGCAGCACAGCTCATAAGTTCAGATACTGTGGAACTTGTATCCTTCTTCAGAGCCACTGAATTCTCTTCATAAGTTTTTCAATGCTTGATCCAGTGTATCTTTGAGCCATTGAACTCTCTTCATAAGCTTTTCAATGCCTGACCCAGTGTATCTTCAGCCTGTCAAAGTAAATGCAGTGCCAAGCAGGTTCTGAAATATTTCAGGCTGTACAATCCTGAAGCTGGATCTGCTGCCATTTTCTCTGACTTGGGGCTTGACATCATGCTGTAATTCCAGTCCTGATTATCTGCAGTAGCCTTGGGTTTCTCCATGGCTGACAGGGCGAGGAGCTTGTAATGCTCAAGTGGAGGAAAACTCAGTATTTGGTACTTATATCCTATCACAGCTTTTCCTCCAGCCACTGTCTGAGACAAGCCACTGGGACTGATGGGCCTTGGGCAGAAGCACTGTTAGGCCTTGTGGAAGGAAATGCAGGGCAGGAGCTGAGCAGACAGCAAAGGGCCCCTTGATCTCAGTCTGGTGTAAATCTGCACTGGTGACACAGGGAGATGAGCCACCTGTTTCATAAACCCCCAAGCAACTGCGTGTGGAGTGGAGCAAGCCTGCAGCTGACCTAGTGGGCACCACAAGCCCCGGGTTTCTTGGTAGCAGCTTGAACAGCTGATGGTTCTGCACTGCCTGTAAATGCCTTGGTGAGCAGCAGCCTCTGAGCCTTGTGTCTCACCTGTGTTGCCCAGCCTGCCACAAAGGCAATGCAGATTCCAGCTCCACTGTCACATTCTCCTTTTTGCCACCTGTCATAGGACAGCTGCTTCCCCAAGAGTTTTCTTGGTGGCATTGAGTGAGGGAAATCTACACTCTTAAGAGGATCTGAAAGTTGCAGGTCAACATTATATGTATTCAGTGTTTTTGTTGGTTTGCTTGTAAGTGCCATCACCTGTCCTTGAGATCTTAATTTTTGTTAATTGCAAGCATATGTTTGTCTCAAGTCACTGCTTGACTCACCTCTCCCCTCCCCTCTCCTTTCCCCTCACCCTCCTCTGCCTTGTTTTTGTGAACCCTCCCCGCCTGTTCAGGGTGCTTCAGGTTTAGACGGCAGGCCTGGACCACCGGTGAGTTCCATTTCTCTGTTTCCCCATGTTTGTCCTCCCCAGTATCGTGACTCTTGTTGTGTCTTCCACCCAAGCCTTGTTTATACCAGGAATAACCTTATTTTTACCAAAGCAGGGTTGGGAGGGGGTTAAACTTAAAGTGAGGAGTGATATCACACACTTGTCTTCATTGATGCTACAAGTCTGGATCCTGGGATCACAGCCTGCTTGTTCCACTCTGTCTCAGTAACAAGAGGAATGAAACCTCTGCATGATTCCATGATGCTCTGTTTTCCTGTCCCCTTTGTCCTGGTAGGTCTCAACCTGTCATTCTCCATGAGATGGGAGAGGAACTCCTCATCATGACCTGTAGTCACAGGACAAAGGGGAATGGCTTCAAAATGAAAGATTTAGTAGATTCAGATTGGATATTAGGAAAAAGTTCTTTACTGTGAGGCACTGGCACAGGTTGCCCAGAGAAGCTGTGGCTGCCCCTCCTCTGGAAGTGTTCATAGCCAAGTTGGACAATGCTTGCAGCATCCTGGTCTAGTGGAAGGTGTCCCTGTCCTTGGGAGGGGGTTGGAATGAGATGATCTTTAAGGTCCCTTCCAACCTAAACCATTCTATGATTCTAAGTAATGCCAGCCTGGTTTTGCAAACCACTCAGCTATTCTTGGGTAACAGCTGTTAAATAACAGCCAAATATTTTTAATCCCTCTTGGGAAATCACAGATCACCCATGCACAGTCCATTTGGCTATTTAAAAACAAAAAGCAATTTCTCCTCCTCAGTGTAGCTGGGAATAATTTCAGCTGCTCTGACTTCTGAAGAGAATCTGAGTGGCAGCTTGTAAAGTCACTTGTCTGGGGAAACTGTAGATACACTGAAATCTGCCCTGCACTTCTATAAAATTGTATTCCTTAGCAGTAAATGATGCATAAGTGAAGGCAATTAAGATTTCCATGACTGCACAAATCTAAAGATAGCCTGATTTTTCTCTCTGCCACACTGAAGTCGTGTGCTGCATGAGCTACTCCTCAACTTGTGTTCTGTGGATCTTGACTTCTGAAAAGCTCTCCTGATCCACATGAGCTGTCCTGCACTCATCAGAGGGGCTGCTTTAGTGACTAAGCATTGCAGACTGACATTAAAATGTGCAAGAGCCTTTGCTTTAAGGCTTTTAGAAAAAAACTCTCCCATTTGCGAAGTTTGTTCCTTGGTTCTTCCTAGGAGTCCCGCAATGTATAAAAGTATCCCTTTACTGAGGCTCCATGAGGGGATTGTAGACCCATACCTGTGTGGTTTAAGGAGTGTTAGTTGGAGGTGCTGGAATCCTGTTCTCAGCCAGAGGGGTATTACTGCCAACATTAAAGATTACTCTGATTGATTTCCCAGAGGCCAGGCAAGTCTCAGGAGCACCAGCAAGGAAGTTTGGTGTGCTGGTGGGAGATGGGCTCTGTGTCAAAGGGTTAGGAGTGACAGGAATGGCAAAGGAGGAGCAGAGGGACTGGAGGATGCTCCTGCCAGCTCACACCTGTGCCTGTGCACACCTGCATTCAGCTCTGCAGCTTGGGCTCTGTCAGCTTGCATGAACCACTGACCCAACTCTCCCCATCTCCTCAACTACGCTGGCTCTGGGAGGGGGTGGAGAAATAGGGAAATAAGCAAAAAGAAAGGCAAATTGTTTATCATGTGTGAAAATGGCCTTTATTCTGCTACAGCTTTCAGCCTTGTCTGGTATAAACTGGAAAGAAAGAATCCCTGTTTGTGGAGCTGGTAGAAATGCCTGCTAAAATAATTGTCAGGAGAGAGCTTCAGAATTAAAAATGAGGCTCTGTGCAGTGGTGCAGGTGTGATCCAACATAGCAGTTCCCATGTTTTTCAAATTGCCTTACCAACTACAAATCCATCTCCACCAACACTGAAAGCTGTAGTGGTGCTGGTGCCTTCCTCCACCAGCCTGTCCTTCCAAGCTGTGCTTTTCCTAAGGGAGCAGCAGTGTCTCCTGGCTTTAAGGAGGCCCTGGAATAAAGGTGTCCTGATGTGTTTTCCTTCTACAACTGCAGGGTATTCCAGGACCAATTGGGGTTTCGGGACCAGCAGGACCAAAAGGAGAAAGGGTGAGTTTTCTTCAGACAGATGCTCTGGAATGTCTCTGGAGATACAACAGCTCTGAGGGATAGAAGAGCTCCAGGCTTTTTCTAGAGCTGGAATTGCCCTCTCCTTGTTCATACAAGAGCTTCAGCTGAGCCTCTTTGGTGCTTGAGTGGCTCATCCTTGGGGGTTTTCAGGTGCTTTGAAATGCATCCTTTGCTTTTTCTTTTATGGTGCTCTGCTGCCTGTTTGTGCTAAATAGGAATGTGAACAGTTTGTACTCTTTTGTGTCCATTTCAGGGCAGTAAAGGAGATCCTGGAGTTGCAGGACCAATGGGGCCAGCAGGGCTTCCTGTGAGTATGGAAATCCTAGGGATTTATCTCCAGAACCTGTTTCCTTGACAGCTGAAGGTGCTGCTGTAATACAGTGTTTGCAGTCACAGCTGGGTTAGGTGTAACTCAAGTTACAAGACTTTGTTCACTATGGGAGTGACAGAAAAAGCTGAGTAGCTTCAGAGCAGACTCAGAGTGATGTGGAGGAGGCTGAAATGAACTTGGTACTTCACCTTGGTCCTTGAGCTGCCTGAAGAAGCTGTGTGGGACTCCCAGGATGTGTCTTAGTCCAAAATGCTGCTTTTGAGCAGCTCCCTTTGCCTTTCACAGCCTGGGTGTCTGCCTCCCACCTGTCTGAGAGAGCCCTGTGTTGTCATTGCAGGGACAAAAGCTGCCTTCAGTGAGGTTCATTCCACTGTCTGGGATTGCTTTTGGCAAAATGGGGCCAGTGTTGGTGATGTGGTGTAATGCAGACATGGAGTGGCTTTGTTGTTTAACACAAAAAGGAAGTTTGTTGCATGCTCATAACTAATTTGTTTCATATCTGAAGAGTCCATGGGGTAGGACAAGGAGTAGTGGTGTTACCACCTGGGTGATCTGATGGAGGTGGAGAGGAAGTTGCCTGTTGGAAAAATTGTGTTTATTTTTGACATAGCCATTGGTCTATGAACAAATGGAAAAAACCCCAAAATCCTGAGCACACATTCTTCTCTTTAGTGGGAACATGGTGAATCTGCTTGTTTTCAAGTGTTTCTTTCTGTGCATTTCAAGTGTTTCTTTCCTGATGCATTTCAGGGTTTACAAGGCCTACCTGGTGACAAGGGAGTCCGGGTAAGTTACCAGGCCAACTCCTTGTGTTTAGTTTCTGACATCTGTACTCAGTGTCAGCCCAGTTAACTCCTGTACAGCCAGCATGTGTTTGTGTGCCACACCTTTACACCTGTGCTTCAGAAGGTGAGACCTGTAGCTCCCTCCATCACCTGGAACATTGTGCTATATCTGGCTGAAGGCTGTAGGAGGGACTTTCTAATGTGCTCGTTGTGGTCACACCTCTGTTCTAACTGAAGCACAGGAGTTAGGCCAGCATGGTGTGCCTTAGGAAATCCTTATCTAGTTACTGATGTGTGTAGGGATTCCTGGAGAATTAGCTGAGGTGCAGCCAGCAAATCTTATTTCAGTACTTCTAAATTGTCCCTGAAGCATGAAAAAGAAGGTTGTCTTCCAGCAAACAATCCTGCAGAGGATTTGAAAGATGGAAATTTTGAGAAGATAAATTAAATTTGCCTGTCTTGAAGAATCAGGCCTAAAGTCTCCTCAGGCATTGTCCTGATGTGATGGTGAAGAGCTGGGTCAAACCCAGGAACAGGAATGGCAGCTTTCCCATTGTACCACCAGTGTCATGGAAAGATAAACATTATTAGGAAGAGTGTGTTGAGAAGCTCCTTCTTTTTCATCAGGTTGTCTTGCCTGTTAAGGCTTTGAATCTGGATCTTTTTTATAAAAACATTTAGGAGCTGTGGTTGGATATAATTTATATTTAGAAATATAAATTACTTTTGGATTTGAGTCTGTAATATTACAATTGTATAAATGTCAAGAAGTTCAGTGCAGTACAAGTGTATGTAGTCACACCTTTTATTCATAAGACTCTGGCATCACCTAAATTTATCTGGAAGTGTAATTTTTTATAGTGCATGTGCCCATGTGATGATTTCATTTTATGGATTTGCTTTTGATGTGTAGTGAGTGTTCTCTGTCCTCTGTCTGCAATGGATTTCTGGCCTTACTCTGCACAGAAAGGACAGTTCTGGACAGCACTAGCCAACTGGCATCTTAAACTAGGGGAGAAAGGTTCAAGTTTCATGGAAACACCAAAGTTCTCCCCTTTTTTAATTATTGCATTTCTGGCTTTGCTTCTTAACTTTCCCTTCACTTTTGTTTTGCTTGTTTGGCTTCTTCTAAAAAACTGTAATTTTTAATTCCTAGACTTTTTCAGTTGGTTTTTGAACTGAGTGTCCTAGTTAAAAGAAGGATCTTCCATTAGCTTTCATTAATGGGATTTCTCTGAGCTCTGGCATAAAAGCAGGTGAAAACTGGGAGAAATTGCAACTCTTTGTAGAGGATAAGCAGGAAAGCATGAGTGGGGAGTTTTGCTGGTCCCTTGAAGCTTGCATGCACTCTGCCTCCCTGCAGCCCATGGTTTGCAATGGCAAAGTGTGAGAGACTCAAGAGTGTAAATGGGCAAGTGCAATATCCTAGGGGACCCTAGAGAACACCCCTTTTGCCACTGAGCCTTTTACAGGGATTTCCCCTTACTCTGGAGTCCCAGTTTGCCAAAATCCTCTCTTTTCCTCTATACTTTTTAAATCCCAGAAATGTTCTGCTGCTCTCTGCTTGGAGCAGGAGATCAGCATAGCTGTGCCTGGGTTGTGGCCCTAATGGCAGTGGGAACAGGCAGCATTTTGTGAAAGCCAGCTGAAAAAGTGTGAACCCTGAACTTGTCCTGCTGTTATTTTAATGCTGGGGGGTTTGTGTGTGTTTGTGCATCTTCCTTGCTCCTACAGGTCCACCTTTGTCCCCTTTATCCCTTCCTCCTCTTCCACCTTTCTTCCTGGTTCCTTCCTCCAGAGCAACCCATGCTGCATTTTTCCTGGGTTATCCTCTCCATTCCAGTCCTTGGTTCTGGGTGACTTCTCCTCATTGCCTCTCCTCTCCCATCCATTTCTCTTGCCAGCTTTGGGTTTAACACTTTTTTTTTTTTAAAGAAGCAGCAGCCTGTGCTGTCTGATTTTTATCCCTTAATTCCTTTAACACTCCCCATGAGGACCCTAAGTTCAGTTCCCTGTGCAGCAGCCCCTTCCCCCTGTTTGATGCTGAGCACCTTTGAGAATTTCCTGTTACACAGAAGGATTTGGTGTGGATGTAACTGGCAAATACCACACTATCTAAATACACAGTAATACTAAATACACAGCCTTGTGCTGCCAGTTGAGGATCAGGGACCAATTGCTGCCCTGTGGCTGTGCTGCCTAGGACTGCTCCCTGGTCTAACAGGTTTTTTGGGAGAGCACTGCTCAGAGGACAAAGGACAGCCAGACTGTGCAGACTCAGAGCTGAGTACTTCCTTCATTCCCTGGCTGACAGTTTCCTGAGTGAGACTTTAAGAATGGGAATTCAGAGGGGTAACAAAAGCATCCCAGAGCCCCGGTGGAAGAGGGACCTTCCCAGGCAGCTGGAGATGGAGATAAGGAGGCACAGTGCTGGCCAGAGGGGTGGTTTCCCATCCTGTGTGCCTGGGCTCAGCCAGGTCTCCAAGGTGCCCTCTCTGATGTGTGGGAAGCCCCGAGGAGTGGAGTGATGATCCCTTTGATGCCAAGCCCTTGCAGCCTGTCTGTGTTTATGCAGCTCAGCTACAGCTCAGCAGCTCCAAACGTTGATCTTCACATCTCAGAGGGAGATTTATTTTAGAATGTTTCTTAAATGTTTATCCTTTTTTAAACTATTGCTGACATTTGTTTGAAATGGATGATCCTAAAGCTTTTGTGTATTCTTTTTTTCTTGGACTAAACTATTATTTACAGGGGGAGAGGGGCAAGAAAGGCTCTAGAGGGTCTAAAGGGGATAAGGGAGACCAAGGAGCACCTGGATTAGATGCACCCTGTCCGTTGGTATGTCCTGTTTCATCAAATGTATTGTTTCAAGATGTGTTGATGGGGAAGACAGAAGGAAATCATAACATAAATAATGGTCTTGCAAAAGTACAACATTCAGATAAGCCCAGCTGGGTTCCCACCACAGCCTGTGGCAAAGCTGTGGGACCAACTGATCCTCTGAGAGATCAGGCTGCTGGGTGACCATGGTTATGTTCCTTCCTCTTCCAGACAAAGGTTTGGGTACATGGGGTGTCCCATGTGCTGGGAGCTCAGGGCTTTCTCCTCTGTGGATACAGCCCTGTCTCCTTTGCTGCTGGTTCCAGCTCTTCTCTGGAGATGCTCGATGGGATCAAAGCTATGAGACAGCAAAACTGCAGTGCTGGCTTCCTTGCCTTGGAATAACAGCCAGCTGATGTGATGGCCTGACAGCACACAGGGCACTTGAGCTGCACTACCCAGAGGGAAAACAAGTCTCAGTTATCCTAAATGGGATGTGTTTCTGTCAAAACTGATTTGCTATAAGTCTAGACAAATGGATAAATACAGGAATATGTGTACATTTAAATCTAAATTTATATGCTGCAGTAAACACTGCCAGAAATCTGCTAGCAGTGCCACAAATTCCAGGAGCACTTGGAGACCATTCTTTTAGAAATCCAGCTGCTGGGTTTCTCATTGAGGATCGGAGGAATGGCTGATTTTGGAATGGAGGAAAAGCCATTCCCATCCTCTCAGAGAAGCATCTCCCGGCCCGCAGATGACAGAAACTGCTGCTGCAGACACAGCTCACTGTGCAGACTGCTCTGTGCTGGGTGTGCAGCTGAGTGCCCCGTGCCAGTCCCAGCAGGCACTCAGCCTCTCCTCCTGGGGCGTGGAGCTGGCTGGCACTGACTGAAATAACGATAGTGGTTGATTTCATAAACAGGGTCTGCGAGGTTTTAAAGGCGAGAAGGGTGAGCCGGGGTTACCTGGGCTGGACGGCCTGGATGCCCCTTGCCCATTGGTATGGTGTACCTTCCCTTTCCTGCATGCTCGTTTGCTTTTTGGCTCTTGGTGCTGTTTTCTGATCCCCCCAAACAGCTGCATGCCCTAGAAACACCTGGCAGTTCCTTCCTTACCTGTCTCCATACTCCCTCCCTCTCATGGCTGCTGTCAGAACCAGGCCCTTCCCTTCATTCTGATTCCCAGCAGGACTTTGTGGCATGAAAAAAATAGAGTTGGAATGTGGTTTTATTTACAACTGCTTCACTTCTTCCTTTGCCTTCCTTTTGACAATTTCCAGTAAACCAGTGTATGCAGACCCAACTCTGCACTGGCTTGGCTTCCTCACAAGGAGCTGCAGTGCTTGTGTCCTTCATTAACTCTGTTTTTAATTGCTTGTGTGTGTTGAGCACAGTCTGCCATGGTTCTGTATGACCTCAGTCACCCCATACATGAAGATGACTGAAAATAATAGTTATCCCATTAGTAGCCCATGTGAAATGTATTAATGGGGACTTAACCTCCCTGCTGAATAATTCCTGTTTATGGCTCTCCCCAGAAGTCCAAATTGTACCCATAGCATCCAAAAAACTTGAATTTAGGATTGCCTGTTTCCCAATATTCGTCTTATTCAAGTGATAAAATGATTATTGTATTAGTGCCTGATCTAATCAACGGCCCAACTGTTGTAGGACAAAAGTATTCAGGAACATTTAACCCCAACTGATTTCTTAGTATCCAAATAATGGTCACCAATTTATTCATTTTCTCTGAGTTTTCTGGAGATGCAGCATTCAGGTGATGTTTTTGCTCCCTGGCAGAGTCTCAACATCTCCATTATACAAAGAAACTTTTACACCCCTGCCCATCCAGCCCTGTTTGGCATGACAAGGTTTGCTTGAGGATGGTCTTTCCAAGCTTTATGCTCACTTAAGGAGGTTTGAAAGGTTTTCCTAGTTTCTTGAGGGGAACAACAAAAAAAAAACAAAAGAAAACCCCCCATGAAATTGCCATTAAAAGCCTGAGCTTTGTGAAGAGCTGTCATAATTTTCCTTCCAGTGTTCCCTCCTTTGGGTGCTGCCATTGCCTCTTTGGGACAGGGACCACTCATAAAGTCTCAGTTGCTGCTCTGTAAATTCTGGGTAGTAGAAACTTCTGCCAGTCCCACAGGTGAACCCATCCCTGCCCAGAACAGTGCACAAAGGAGGAAGACCACAGAGCCATGTGTTTTGTGTCCCAATGATCACAGCCAGGTTTCTGTGGAGTAACTTCTGGCTGAGTAAATCACTTAATTTCACAGGTGCAAGGATTCCACCAGTGCCCTGGCAGGTGACATTTCTGGTTTTGTCCCTGCTCCCAGTGAGGATGCATCCCACATGGCCATATTAGAGCTCACACTTCATACCTATTTTCATTAAGGGAAACTTGCCAGAAAATCTGCTGAAATATGGATGCTGTTATTTTTTATACATGGTGTTCTGGCATGCCAGCTAGCTTGGGAACGTGAATAAGCATGTTTTTTGATCCAGCTAGGTTAAAAGCTTGGCATCCAGCTGCCACATCCATGTGTTTAGCTTATGGAGGCTGTGAACTAACTCTTTACACATCTGAGATATGTGGAAGGAGATCCTTGGTCCTAATAAGCATGTCATGTTTCCGTTCTCGGCACACTGGCCCGCAACAAACACTTCCTTGTGACTCTGGTCTTCCTTTGATCCCTGGGCTGTGACTCCCTGGCCTCCCATGCCTTCATACACCTAACCTCCCATCTCCTCCTGCCATGCACTGTACCAGCCATTCCTGTCACCACCAGTGTACCAATGGGAACAGCACAATTTACCCAGTAAATAACTTGTAATTCCATATTTCCACGTAGTTGGGGGAAGGGGAGGAAACAGCACAAGGAGACCAAAGTCCAAAAAATGCGTTTGAAAAGCAATACTGTTCTAACATCATGGCAACATTCAGTACATCACCCCCCTGGAAGTGCATCTCCAGTAAATAGTTCATTTCTCAATATATTACTGTGCATTTGCTTTTCTGTTTGTATTTTTTTGGGGTTTCCTGGGGAATAGTGATAAACTATGAATCTGCCACGTGCACAAAGCACAAGAATTTGACTTCTTGTGTCAGACATGTATTTCCTTACACCTGACTTTATCTGCTGCTCCAGAGCACCTTAAGCACTGGTGTCATATCTAGCCCATCCAAGAGGGCTGCACAGGGTTGAAATGAATGGCAGTAATCTACAAAAGCTTTTTCCAGCCATGGAGCCCAAGACATCACGGTTGCAGAAGTGCCAGGGGGTTTCCACAGAAATCCCACTGATGTTTTTGAAGCCAAAGTCCCTTTTCAGGGAATCAGCTGAGACATCCTGAACCAGCAGAGGTGCTGTCCCTTCCTAATTTCCCTGGGGCAGGCTCTCCCCAGAGGCAAGAGGGGATAACTGGGCAGTGTCCCACATGACAAAGCAAACCCTTTAACAGGGCAGAAAGGAAATGGAGAATTTTTCCTAGACCCTCCTCAGAGTCTGAGGTTAGTGCTGACTCTGGGATTGGTTTTTAAGCTCAATGTTACAGAGCCAAGCCTGAGGACACAGAGCAGCCACCTCTCACTTTCCACTGCCAGATCCTGGCAGTGTTTATCTGGCTGAGTTGGACTTTCCTTCAGGGAAGCCTGGATGGGCTCCTTTCTTCCTGGGGGAGGGTGGTTCTCGGGTACATCAGTCCCTTGCACAGCCTGCAGGCATTTCCCCTCTTCACCCCAGCCCCTGCTTCAGGCTGCACTGCTTGTGCCAGCCAGAAGTCTGGGTCATCTGAGGGATGAGGAATAGCTCTCAGACTATTCCTCCAGCCCTGGTTCAAACTGTTTGTTGCAGTAACAGTTAACCCATGCCGTCCTTTCTCCATCTCTGTGCTACTTTCTGTGTCCTAAACTACTATTTCATCCCTCTTTTTCACAGGGAGAAGATGGCCTTCCAGTTCAAGGCTGCTGGAATAAGGTGAGGTAATCTTGGAAGTGTTGCTGTGCTGAGTTGGCAGTGCTAATGTTTTCCATTAATCTGGCTGAGGGCAGAAGAGGTGTGGATGCATGGATGGGATTTCCAGGACTGTATCCCAGAAAAGTGGCAACCAAAACTGCTCCGTATTTAAATATCACAGTTCAGCTCTGTGGGCTACAGAGGAGAGAACTGTGCCTGTGGCCTTTGAGCTGCCTGCCCCAAAGTGCTCTAATCCTTGCACAAAGATGAGATTTCCACCTGGGTTCTCTCAGACACCCCCCACACTCCCCAGGGTCTGGCCCACCTTCAGGAAAGGTGGCAAGGGTCCCTGCTGAGATCCATCACAGCTCCTTTTCCTCCTGGAGAGCCCAGAGCCAGCTTCCCTAACAGCGTCCTTCCCCCTGTGAGCTGTCAGTAACATTTGTTTATGTTTTCTTTTGCAGTGATGATTCTAACCCTGGACTGACCTGTGTGTGTTACTGTACATAGAATATTTATTTTTATACGGTGTTCTTCTCTGAAATGCCAAAAGTTATGCATTTTTACAAATTATCAAAAAGTGGCATATTTTTTTGTACAGAAAATACTAGATCTCCCTTTTTTCCCATTTGTCAGTTCTCTGTATGATTCTATGTCTGCATTACGCTTGTTTTGTCATGGAGTACAGCTGTAATATTTACATGATATTTGTGCACACATGATGAATATAGGAACTTAATAAATTATTGCATTTAAAGTGCCCAAAGGAACTGCCCTGTATAGATTTAAAGGTAATTTTCATTTTTCAAGCTGGATCATTCAAGAATATTTCAAAATATTATGTATTTTTTATTAAAGTGAAATATTAACACTTGTGTTGTGATGAATTAAAGTGTTCCTGGAAACCCCATAGTAGTCCCGATGCACTGGGAATGCAGACACCATGATTTACAATTATCCTGCCATGAGCTGGAATAACCCTCATAACAAGGAGCCCTGGTTGGCAAGAAATTCTAAGCCCTTTCTAAATTGTAGGCTTTCAAGCAGCTTAATGAAAGCCTTATTTAAAATTAAGCATAACACAGCATACCTTGATATCCTAACAAATGTTTGTAAAATCAATCCAGTGGCTTTTTAAAATGTTAACCAAAGGTCGCATGCAAATTTGCAGAGTGTGTAATTTTTATTTGCATATGCACATCTTAATTATCCTTCCTGACCTACCTTTGTTGATGTCTCAAGTCTAAACTACCCAGAGAGGAGGAAAACACTGCCAGACTAAAGGGAGCATAATAGTGTGCTTTCCTTAGGGTATGAGGGGAAAAGTGGGAGCCTGAATCTATTCCCTAAAACACATCCACTTGCCTTGGCCCTTCACACAGGGGGCAAAGGCAGTGCAGGACTCTCAGGGGGAAGCTACCAGAATTTAATGATCCCACAGGAGAAATGCAAGTGGTGATTTATTAGTGAGACTTTAAATATTATTTATTTAAAGTCCTGCTCTTTGCATGATGCTGCCACTCCAACAGGAATTTGGCTCCTCGTGGCTACTTCTGTGCCAGTGGAAGGGGTCACCACCATGATGCTCCCTATACTCAACTATTCGTTCATCTGTTCACAAACTATTAATCAGGTATTTTTCCAGATGGTTCCAAGCAGCCTTTTAGCACCATCTTAATAAAGTGACAGAGTAAGGGATGTAGTTCCCTTGTACACTGGGAAAGGCCTGCTGGGGACTGCCCAAGGATCCCAGCCCAGCCTCGGACTGCTGCAATCCATCTGTCACCTCACCCTTTCAGAAATTTATTGAATTTCATCTGAAAACCAGTGAGTTTTCCACTGCCCTGTGTCCTTTCCCTCCCCGCCCTGCAGGCTGTTCCGACTCCAGTGCCCTCACAGTTAGGAAACTCCTTGCAACTTTCGACCTAAACTAATTCATGGTATTTCCAACCATTTGTTCTCATGCCAACATTGTCCTTGGGATGAAACGTTTCCATGCATGATGTTTTCATGAGATGCTTGGTGTACTGGAGCTGAAACGGCACAGAAAGAAAATGAACCACAAAGCAGTGAGGGATTCTCCCTGGTTTTCTCAGTAATAAATGTCGTTAATGTAAGCCCCAGCTCCGTGTTAAAAGGCTTTGCAGCTGAGCTAATTGGAACAGCTAATGGCCCAATTGTGTTTTAATTGCACACCTGTTAAAGCAGTTACTAAAGACCCAGCCAGGTGTACTCCTCATGCCTTGGGTTTGGAAGGTTGCAGTAGTAGCAGTGAGTTCCTGCTCTCATCTTGAAGGTAGGATGTCTGAATGCTTCGGTCCCTTCTACAAATCCTGGCTATTAATCCTTAAAATACAGAGATCCTTAGGAGAAGCTGCCAATGCTTTCTGTTTCCACTGGTCTGTGTGGCATAGTTTTTGTGTTCTTGGTTTTTGATTGCACTGCATGGGATTGTTGTTGGTTGTTTTTATCTGATCCAAGAGCAGAGCAAGTGCACATCTGCCACCTTGTCCTGACACAGCTCCTCAAAGGTTAAGGAATCTCGAGGTGATGCTGTACCTGTTCTATTCCTTGGGCTGGTTTTTGATTGCTCTATTTGTGAGAAAGCTCTTGCCTGAGGTGTAAGGGAGCTTGAAGTGAAATTGCCAGAACTCTTGATAGTATCTGGCTTGAGTCAGCAAAGATTTACCTACTACGGGGAAAGTGTTTAGGGTACCCGCCCGTTTAAAAGATGGAATAAAGGTGACAAATGTTCCCTGTGGCCGTGGCAGATTATAGCCTGGGATCTTAACTGAAGTACCAGATAAGCATTTTGGACTGCCGCTCCACAGCCCCAATCCTGATACAATCTCATCAGCCGCTGGGGATAGACAAGAGGGCACAGGTCAGTGATACCGCACTGATCTGCTGCTCTTCCCAAACCTGAGGTCCTTGAGTGTCAAAAGAAACCCAAGCAGGGCAGCTGGGTTTGTACCACCCCGAGCATGGCGATTTGTTTCAGGCTCTGTCCCTACTAAAGCCTGTAACCCGGCTGCTGTTGCTGTGGATTCCTGTCAATTCTGCCTGTCTGTTTTCACGTGAAACCTTTTGTCTGCCACTTCAAGGGTCAAACTCCTTGGCTGATAGCCAGAAAATGAGTCTGAGGGTGGAGAAGCTTGGGAAATGGCAGCAGAGGGAGAGGAGGACCTTCCTGAAGATTTGCTGGAGATGTTTTGCGAGTGGCCTCCCTGGAGTTTGGGAAGAGTTCCTCAGCAGTGCAGCAGGAATGTGTGCCCAGATGCTGGAGCTGCAGGAGCTCGGCGTGCCAGCACTTTCTGCTTTGCTTTCTGTTTTCTCCCAGAGGCAAGGGTTGAGAATGGCACCATTTGTGTTCTTTTTCTTTGGTCATTTTCGCTTCATTCTACTATTGTGGTCAGACTCTTCAGATGAAGAATTAGGCTCATTTTCCAGCAGCAGCTACATAAATGAGTGCAAGACATAGACAATATTTCTGGGAGGGGATCCTTTGATCCAAGAAAGAAACCCTTCTTGAACATTTCTCTTTAGAAAAGCAGAGAAACCCCAGAACTGTGTTCAGTTCAGAGTGCTGCTCAGAGAGGATATGATAACACTTTTTGCTACCGTTTCTGGTTACCAGGTGACAAACTTCCACCTGTATCATTGATGATTCCATCTTTAACCTTTTAATCACAAACTTTTGTTCTCCCGTTTAATTATAAGGAAATGACATTGGTTTGTTTGGGTTTTTTAAACCATACTGGATTCTGAAGGCATGAAATATGTTGTCAGAAGAGAAAAATGTGGAGTGTGGAAAAAGTCTGGTTTCACTGACTAATTCCTTTGCTTCCTGTGCTCGTGCTTTGGTCTCCACTGCACCCTCTGGATGTGCTTTGTCTGGAGCCCTGCAGAAATGTTTTCTGCTAGCCCATTAAGGCCCTTTTGTGGGTACATCTCCACAGATGCACAGATGGAAAAGAAGGATCACAAAGGTTCAATTCCATTATTACATGTTTTAATATGTTCACTAAAGGGAAGTAAAGATTTGGCAAAGTGCTGAGGGGTTCAGAGGGCGTTTCCCAGCCTGAAGGGCAGAACGTACAATCCTGGATACTTCCCACCAGCTGCCATGCAAACCTGGCATCCTTTACTCAGCCCCCACTGCTGAAGGTTAGCATGTAAGCTCAAGCGTCTTTCCACCACAGCTCTTGCAATTTGTTTTTAAAAATCCCAAATGTAAAATAAGTGCCTATCTTTTGAACATGACAAAACATCTCTATTTTCCTGAGTGCATTGGGAGTCCCGTTTGCCCAAGAACTAAACCACATATTTAACTTTGAGGGAGTGATTCCCCGCTGGCCTAAATGATGCCATTTGCATATTGAAATGCTAGGGTGGGCCAAGGCCATTGTTATTAGAGCTAATGAATGATATTATCTCAATCATTAGACGGGTCCAAGTGCTAAGCAATTCACATTACAGCTGGGGAGAAAGTGCTGACTTCAAGCTCAAAGGGATGCCATTAACCCAGAGCAATCCCAGACTCAAACGTTCTTTGTCAGCACAAGTGGAATCATTCTGATCTTCTGATAAGGACACCCTTACCTGACACCCATGTCCTCTCCAATGCACAGAAAGTCTGCTGTTAAAATAAGTCCAGGTTTGCAAAGATTGGGGGAAAAGTCCTCCTTTCATATCTGTCTGAAGAATTGCAGTTTTTTAAAATTGAGGTTTCTAACAAATGTGTTCAGGAAAGAGAGTAGTGGGGGAAGAAATTGTTTCAGTTGAGAACCAGGCTGGTGGAAACATTAATTTATTTTATTTGTATTTTTTTTTTTTTATTTTTACTTTTTTTGGGGTGGGCGGAGGGAGAACCTGACCAGAACTGCAGGCGGTAGGTGTGCATTTTTCCTTCTTTTTTAATGAAAACCATTATATATATAGTTTGATAGTGTTACTTCTACTTTTTTGTTAA